GCAGAGCAGGCTGTCAGTGTGGCCAGTGTGGATCTCCTTCAGGATCGTGAGGGCTTCACATGGAAGGGCCATGAGCGGCTGAGCCCACACACGGGGCTGTTGCCCTGGCCTGCCGGGTTCCAGCCCCGCATGCTGGTGCAGTGCCTGCCACCTGCTGCTGTCACTGCTGTCACACTCCATGCGGAGTGGAGCCTTGTGGCCTTTGGTACCAGTCATGGCTTTGGACTCTTTGACTACCAGCGCAAGAGTCCCGTGCTGGCCAGGTATGTGGTATGAGGTGAGCAGTTGGCAGCAAAGGTCTGTTGAGATGATTGGGACTCAGTTTTCTTTCAGAGTTGGGTGTGGCAGAGGCAGGCTGTTTGGGAAAGCCCTTATAATCTCTTCATTTTCGAGAGAACTGGTCAGGCCCTCCAGCTGCTGTGGCCATGGGTCCTAGCACCAAGTTGCTCTGGTTCCCTGACCTGGGCTCTGGTAACCTGGCTTCGGGCTAGCAGGGGTGCAGTGTAGCTCCATAGCATAGCTGGCCCTGTCATCCTCAGGTGTACCCTTCACCCCAATGACTCTTTGGCCATGGAGGGGCCGCTGTCACGGGTGAAATCCCTCAAGAAGTCACTGCGACAGTCATTCAGGCGTATCCGCAAGAGCCGTGTCTCGGGCAAAAAACGGGTTACTACTGCCAGTAGCAAGGTGAGCTGGGACTGGCTGCCAGGCTGCCAAGTTCGTGCCCTGGTCCAGAGCCCTCAAGTTTGCTCAGTTGCCTTGCTCCCCTGGTCATTAACTGGGAAGCAGGTGCTTGGATGGCGATGTCTGCTGGGTACTAAACAGAAAGGGCTCTTGGAAGAGGGCATCTAAGATCCTCTGGCCCTCCCAGTTGCAGGAGGCCAATGCACAGCTGGCAGAGCAGACCTGCCCCCACGATGTGGAGATGACACCTGTGCAGCGCCGCATCGAGCCTCGATCTGCTGATGACTCCCTTTCTGGGGTTGTACGCTGCCTCTACTTTGCTGACACATTCCTTCGAGATGGTGAGGCCAGGGTAGAGACGGGTGGAGAGGCTAGATGGCCTTGTACTGTTAGCAGAGGTGGTGTTCTGAGCACCTACTATGTGCTGAGTTGTACTTTGGGATATCTTGGCCACGTATAGGCCAGAGGGACATATTTTGAGGTTTGCAGAGTAGACTGCAAGGCTACATATGAGCCTTGTAGAGTCAAACAAGACGCAAGGGAGCCATGGTAAGGTAGGCAGTGAGGGCCAGGGTGACCAAGGCCCTGGGGAGGGCAGGTAATGGAGGTGTTAGGACACATCAGGTAGGGACTCGTCATTGACTGATAAAAAGTCCCCTCTCTGCCTTATGCATATTGGTGGCTCTTTGGTTTTTTACGTTGTATAATGATAGTTTGAAACACAGACAGTATACAGTCACCCACATACTCCTACTTCAGCTGCCACCCCCAGGTATCTGCTGCCAGTGTGCCCCATCCACACTTTACTCTTTCTAGTGTTTTAGACAGGCTTTCTCTGTGTAACAATTCTGGCTGTCTTGAAACTTGCTTTGCAGACCAGGTTGCCCTTGAACTCACGGAGATCCATCTGCCTCTGCTTTCCCAGTGCAGGGATTAAAGATGCATCTTGTTTTTATTTGTTGCTTGCTTTTTAGATAGGGTCTTACCACATAGTCCTGACTGCCTGGAACATCCTATGTAGATCAGGCTGGCCTCAACTCACAGAGATGTCTCTGGGATTAAAGGAGTGTGCTGCCATGCCCAGCTTTGTAGGAGGGAGCTATGTTTCCTGGAGTGGGTTGAGGGTGCAGCTTGATGGCTTGGTGGTATCAGGGGCCAGTTTGTGGCTGATACCCACCTTGTAGATGTCCTCAAGGTGACTCGTGCCTCTGGATCAGGGCTGCTTTTATGTATCAGACACAAGTGGGTTGAGGCCACATAGCAGGTGTTGAGTTAGGAGGGAGCCCGGATTCCTGAGATCTGATCCCTACAACCAGTTAGGAAATGAAGGTACAGGTGAGAAAGAAGGGTCTGTGAGGAATGGGGTTCCTCAGGAGGCCCTCCTCACTGTACCTGTCTCCCTCAGCAACCCACCATGGGCCCACCATGTGGGCAGGAACAAACTCGGGCTCTGTATTTGCCTATGCACTGGAGGTTCCAGCAGCCACAGCAGGTGGTGAAAAGCGGTCTGAGCAGGCAGTAGAGGCTGTGCTGGGCAAAGAGGTACAGCTGATGCACCGGGCACCTGTGGTGGCCATTGCTGTGCTGGATGGTCGTGGCCGTCCACTGCCTGAGCCCTATGAAGCTTCTCGGGACCTAGCACAGGCCCCTGACATGCAAGGTGGACACGCTGTGCTCATTGCATCTGAGGAACAGTTCAAGGTGAGTGTCCATGGGTGATGGAGATCCATCTAGTATCTTGGACCCTTTCGAACCCCTGCTTTGCCCATTTCCCCTACTTGCTGAGATCTAAATTCTTCCTTTGCTATCAAAGGTCCTCCATAGGCCTGCCAGGTTCCCCTAAGGCCTTGCACCTCACAGCCTTCTCCAAGAGCCTCATGGGAAACCCTTAAATCCAGTCCCCACAGACTTTGGTTTGAAGGGTGGATACCAGGCATAGAGCATATGAATATGTCTAGTTAATCTGGCTGTGGGTAGAAATGAGGCTGAGTCTATAAATGGGGAGGGCTGGTTCAGTGGGTGTTATTTTGACATGCATGGTTGGGTTGGGGCTTGCAGGGCCAGTTGGGGGTCTGCAGCCAAGTGGAAGTGAGTAGAAGTAGAACAAGGCTGGGCCTAACTCACAGGCTATCTGTCACCAGGTGTTCACACTGCCCAAGGTGAGTGCTAAGACCAAATTCAAGCTGACAGCCCATGAAGGCTGTCGTGTACGGAAGGTAGCCCTGGCTACATTTGCCAGTGTGATATCTGAGGACTATGCTGAGACCTGCCTTGCCTGCCTCACCAACCTGGGCGATGTCCATGTCTTCTCTGTGCCTGGCCTGAGGCCTCAGGTGCACTACTCCTGTATCCGGAAGGAGGACATCAGTGGCATCGCTTCCTGTGTCTTCACACGCCATGGCCAGGGTGAGGTGGGACGGGTGGTTGAGAACAAATGCTGGGTACAGCAGAAAGTGCAGTTCTGCTTATGTGCTGAGGTGTTGGCCAAGGGCTGGTAGGGATCAGTCCTCCTTACATGCTCTTTTCTCTTGGTCACAGGCTTTTACCTGATTTCTCCATCGGAATTTGAGCGCTTCTCCCTGAGTGCTCGCAATATCACAGAGCCCCTCTGCTCTCTAGATATCAGCTGGCCCCGAAATGCCACCCAGCCCAGGTGTGTGAGGAGTGGGCCCCTTATCCATCTTGGGTTCTGCACGGTCTGGTGTTAATCCCTGTTCCTGGTTTGGGGATGGAAGGTAGCACATTGTAATAGTCTCCATCACATTCCCATCTATTTCTGTAGCCATAGGCTTCAAGAGTCACCCAAGCTGAGCCAGGCTAATGGGACCAGAAACATCACCCTGTCCCCAGGGAGCTGTGAAGGAAGCCCTAACTCTACCCACAGCAAGCAAGCTGGTGAGAGGTCACAGGGTTGGGGCAGGCATTGGCTTGAAGGTACCTGGGGGAGAGCCAGGGCTAGAAGCTGCCAGAAGAGAGGCAAGAGTGCCTGTGTTTGCACGTTCATGTCCAGCTGTGGGCTGGTCTCTAGATGCAGAGAGTAGATACTGAGGAGCACTTCTTCCAACAGACACCACAGAGCCACCTGAGGCCACCCTCTCACCTGTGTCCATTGACTCAGCTACTAGTGCAGATACCACGCTGGACACGACAGGGGATGTCACAGCAGAATGTGTGAAGGATTTCCTGGGGTGAGGCCAGCTGCTCTTTCCCAAGCCTTCATCCCCAGGGCAGCTAGGGGTCTTCCCACACCAGCCCTTCTGATTACTGACTCCTCCCCAGCTCTCCTGAGGACTCTGAGAAGAACCTTCGGAACCTGGAAGCAGATGAGGCCCAGGCCTACACCCTTCTGATTAAATGAGGTGCTGTGAGGCAGCCAAGCCTTACGACACAGCAGCTGCCATCCCTTGCCCCAACTGGGACCCTGGCAGGCCTCTATAATGGTATCACTCCTGGAAGCCTAGCTGCCTTCCCTTAGCTGTCAGAGGCTTAGGGGACCCAGTCATGATCATCACAGTTTAGTGCTAAAAAGGGGCCATTCTGTCAGACTTGAGGTCTTGGACATTTAAAGGGCCACCTCTGAGTCTGGGTGTAGGAATTGAGGCTCATCCTGTTCAGTGAGCCCATTTCACAGGATAGTCACTGAGGCTGATAGGTCCTGCCTGTTGAGCCAGCACATGGAGTTTATGTGCCTACCATATCCTGCTATGGACCCAACCTAGCTGGAACCTGGAGCTATCTGGACCTTGGTAGCTAGTGCCTCTGTACCCTACATTGGGCATAGATACTACCCATACCCTGTTACTTGGTACCCTCCTAGATCCCCAGCAAGCCCTTCCTCAGGCTGTCACTAAAGGGCCTGCCTGCCCACCCTGCACAGACTGGTATGGCCTGGGTTTGCTCCCCCTAGCCATCACCATCTGCTTATCCCAGCCGACTGTCTGCCTAGCTCCTTAACATTGAACCCACACCTGTTAACCTGTGGGATCCAGTCTTACTGATGCTGGGCCCTAAAGACACCCCCAGCTTGATGGTCAGCTGGAGGGAGTGCGCCAGGATCCTCTATCTTGCACTCCATACTGCCCTTTATTTCTCAAGCAGAGTATTTTTCTAATGCCTGGACTACGCTGGCCAGTCATTTCTACAGCAGTTTTGGTACTTGCTCTGGCCTGTGTGTATGCTCACGTGACTGGAAACTGCAAGGCACCGTAACTGGAGTCAGTTGGGTGTGTGCATGTGTGTGGGGCGTCGAGGATGGGCTTCCCTCTAGACTCTACCTTGGGCTTTTCTGTCTTTTTTAAAAAAAACTAGTTTTAATATTAAAAGTACTGATTTTTTAATATTGAAAATAAAAGCATTTAATATCTTTTAAACTACCTCTGCTGCACACATGTGGACACACTGGTGGGGCTTGCAGGGTGTGGGCAGGACTGGTGGGTAGCGAAACAGGTGCTGGGCGGCCGCCTCTTCCTCCTGGAGTCTGATTCATAGATGCTGCTTAGGCCGGGGATTGGCGGAAGGTGCTCCAGGCATGGAAGCAGCGCGTGAAAGCCCGCTGTTCGTTGCCTTTGCGGACCAGGCGCAGGCGACGTGGCCGCTCATGTTCTTTAGAGCGTGTGTGTTGGATGTATACCTGGGAAGGGAGACAGTGGGCCCGGGTAGTCCTCTGAGTCCTGCCCAGGATGAGGGAGGGGGCAGGTGGTTCCTGAAGTCATTGGGCTGGCTTCAGTGCTGTCCTTTCTTACCTGGCAGGCCTTCAGACTCAGTTTAATCTCCACTTGACTTGTCTGGGTCCCAACCCACATGTAGACCTGAGGATACAGTGGAGGAAATGGTTATGTGGGTGTCTTGACCTTTTTGGTGTTTTACAGTGCTAAAAACTGAACCCAGGGTCATTGTATATGCTACTCAAGTGTGGCTGGTGGGAATGTTTCCCTCTGGACCCACTGTTTCCAGTAGGACTCCTTACCCAACGGGCAGGGTCTGAGGTGGGGGAAAAATGTCTTACTTCTTGGCCATTGTCTAACAACATGATGTCATCATCTGCCAGGTCATCTTGGCAAAAGTCAGAGCATTTCTCAGTCACTGCGAAGTAGCCCTTCTCATTGGAACACCTGAAGGGCAATGGTCAAGATGAAGTAATCATCAGGACTAAAGAAGCTAGAGGAGGGGTCAGGGCACTCACCTGAAGAGCCTTGTATGCTTCATGTACTCTGCGTCGTCATCATAGGGTTTCTGTGTGCCAATGCCTACCCAGAAGAAGTTCTCTGGTTCCTCGCCTTCATTGATGACCTGTGGAAAGGCTGTTAGCCAGGGCGGTCCTCTACTCTCATCTTCCTGCCTGCCCCCACCTCTGTTACCTGTTTGCTGTAGGAAGCATCAAACATGGTGTTGAGGATGTCTTCTGCCAACTTGGCTTCATCAGGGTCTGATGCCCGGCCCACCCAGGCATACACAATGCCTTGGTTGTCCTCACTCTCAAAGGGGACCTGTGGCGGCACAGGGCTTGGTTAGGGCTGGGTTCTTGCCCCGCCACCTTGCTCTGCTTGCTGTCTTGCCCACAGCCTCACCTTGAGGATGAAGCAGAACTCAGAGTTGAGAAGGCTGGAGTCAGTGTTGATCTGGATGCACCTAGGGGATTGGGGGGTGGGGTCAGTATTGTTATAACCATCACAGAATCCTGCCCTTTCCCCATGCTAGGTACCTACCGGGTGCAGAGGGCACTGCCATTGGTGCGGATCTGATAGAGGCTCGGCTGAAGAGTACCCTGGGCCACCTTCCTCTTGCCCCGGTGGATGATGAACTTTCTTTTGAAATGGGACAGGAACTTGGGGTTCTCCTGCTGCTGTGTCATACGTACTACCTGGGGATCAGAAGTGCTGGGTAGACCTAGACCCTACCTGCCTTTCAAGGGTCAAGCCTCCTCAGATCTGGTTTGATCACGCTACCATAGGCTATGGGGTACAGCTTAGGGCTGTATGAGGGCATACCTCCAGCTTGCCAGGGAATAGGCTCTCAAACTTCTTCTGAAGACTGAAGGTGAAGGTGAGCCAGCCCATGTTGGAGGCCTCCCGGCCCTGCCAGAAGTAAACGATGCACTGGAAATCCTCCTCTGGCTGCTTCTCCTCTGCCTCAGCTTCTGTTTCCAACCCTTCTGTGCCCTCGGCTGAGGCCTTGCCCTCCTTGTCCTCCGTCTTCTCTTCCTCCTCATACTCCACTGGTACCCAGTACCTGTGATTTAGACAGTGGTGAGCAGGGGATGCAAAGGGAAGAGGACAAGAGGGTGAAGTATTATTGTGGCACCTGCAGAGGAAGACATAGCAGTCCTGTGTGTAGAAGTGGCCAAACTCTTCCTCCGGCAGTCGTGTGAACTTCCTGCCCTCCAGCACGAAGCCTTCCATGCCATCCAGATCCTCATTCCATTCCTCCATCAGCTGCTCTGCCTGTCATCCCATCCCCAGGTGAGGTCTGAACACCATGCTGAGCAGAACCCCCTTACCCCTCACACCTCCCCCTCACACAGGCTTCATCCCACCTCAGCCAGTGCCATTGGTGGCTGCCGAGGCAGGAAGAGTGCCGTGAGGTCAGCCTTCATTTGGTCTTTCTTCTCAGTGTCACGCTTCACTTTCCCAGAGAGCCCCTGGCCCTGCAGCACAGCCTCTGCATTTCGAGTGTAGTCTACTGTCAACACATCGTCCCAATTTTTGAACTTGGCTTTGAACACCTGTGGAGAACAGTATAATGCCACAATTGGGGAGAGGTACAGCAGAGTTAAGGTTGGGGCTGAGGGATTCAAGCAAGGTTTGGAAAAGCTGGTCAGAGGCCAAGAGGTGGGATCTAAACGAGCTGGAGACGGCTTGGAAAGGTGGAGCTTAGCAAAGGAAGTGGAGACGTGCTAGAGTGGATGGATGGCTCTGCAAAGACACGGTGGATTTGGACCACTTTCGCAGCAGAGAGGGCAGTGGAAAGCAGGGTGTGGGGCACACCTGAGCCTCGGTGCCTTCCAGGCTGCGGCTGACCACTGCATGGCGTGGCCGGTGCAGCATCCCACACAGCTCCTGGCCCAGTTTGAGTGCAGCAGCACGCACTAGTCTTGGGGACTTGCGGCCAAGCCAGATGAATACATCAGACCAGCAGTCCAGGATGTACACACATCGTGTGTCCAGCAGGCTCTGCAGCTGTAGGACAAGAGGCTGGAGGTCAATACTTGGCCAACACAGGAGACAGGACCCGTGCCCACCTCCGACCAACTCACCAGTCTCATTCCTGGCATCAGTTCCACCTTGGGCCGTTTTCTATGTTCCACTGAGAGCTTGTAGTTGATCTGGGGAAGCTCCAAGTAGCCCAGGCCCAGGCCCACCTGGGAGGAGGAAGAGATGGGTATGGCAGACCCCACATTTGCCCTGATTTGGGACCTGCTTCCCTTCAAACTGAACCACATTTTAAGGAGGGCCTACCAGTGGAAGGGTCTACTGTTCGTTGGGCTTTTTTCCTAGTACAGGGAGCAGTCCCAGGGTTTTGCCTACACCAGGCTCTAGTACAGAGTCCCACTCCAAGCCAGTGGAAGGGTATTTAACTTTTTTTCCCTATGGAGGCTTTTTATTTATATGTTTTACATCTCTAGAAAAAGAATCCCAGGATTTCCCCTCCTGTGTGTTTTCGTCTTGCTTCTTCCTGGTCCATGATGCCAGCTGAGGCTGTCAGTACAATGAAGCCAAACTTGGAGCAGATGGCTCTGCCATTCTTCTAGGTCTCTGAGCTGCACATCAAATCTAGGGCTGATCACGCCACACTTGTTCAACCTGCCTGTGAAGTTCATGACAACTTTTCCATCTCTGTGGTCATTAAAGATTTCAAATTCACCAATGTAACCATGCTTCATCATCAGGAACCAAACGATAACTTTGGAGCAGGGCCTGATGAGGACCTGGCATCTGCCTCTCTTCTCAGCATTGTTGATGCTATTCAGAGCATCAGCCAGGACATTCATGCACACCATGGTGACGGCGCGGAAAGATGGCGGAATTTAACTTTATTACTATTTTTAAGTAGGCATATTTTGTATGTATGTATATATGTATGTATGTATGTACATTGCATGTATCCTTGGTGCTTATGGAGGGAGGCCAGAAAGCAGTGTTGAATCTCCTGTAACCAGAGCTACCATGTGGGTCCTAGGACTTGAACCCAGGTCCTTTGGAAGAACAAGTGCTTTTAGCCACTAGGCCATCTTTGCAGCCCTTGAAGGGCTTGTTGGGTTTTTGTTTTGTTCTGTTTTTTGAGACAGGGTTTCTCTAATGGCCCTGGCTGTCTTGGAACTCAATTTGTAGACCAGGCTGGCTTCAAACTCACAGAGATCTGCCTGTTGCTGCCTCCCGAGTGCTGGATTAAAGGTGTGCAGCACCACTGCCCAGCTGGAAGGGCTTTTAAATACATGTTTTCCTTGCTTGCCTAATCTAGGTCCTTATTGTTGTTTTGCTGGTCTTCCTTCCTTCCTTCCTTCCTTCCTTCCTTCCTTCCTTCCTTCCTTCCTTCCTTCCTTCCTTCCTTCCTTCCTTCCTTCTTGTTTTTCAAGACAGGGTTTCTCTGTAGCTTTGGTGCCTATCCTGGAACTTGCACTAAAGACCAGGCTGGCCTCGAATTCACAGAGATCCGCCTGCTTCTCGCTCCCACGTGCTGGTATCAAAGGTGTGTGCCACAGACTGCCTGGCTGTTTCTGATTTTTTTTTTTAAAGATTTTTATTTATTTATTACATGCAGTGTTCTGCCTGCAGGCCAGAAGAGGGCATCAGACTGAATTATAGATGGTTGTGAGCCACCATGTGGTTGCTGGGAATTGAACTCAGGACCCCTGGAAGAGCTCTTAACCTCTGAGTCATCTCTTCAGCACCTGTTTCTGATTTCTTAACTTGTCTCTTTCCGGCTCATAAGAACCCTAGTCTCCTGCCACTCAGAAAACTAAGGCCAAATTCTCAGCTCTGGTACCCGGGAGCTTCTGGGCCACCTTCCAGAAGAGCATGCCAGCTTCATCCTCACAGCTGGCTTCTAGACTGCGCTCCCTGTCCAGAAGAATGTCCTCTTCTCCCAAAGCCCACAGTACAACTAAGGGACTGGAGTGAGACTTACTTCGTACCCAGCACCAACTCACCTTGTATAGCTTGGGCTGAGGTGGCCAAAAGTCATCAGGCACGTGCTTCTTGATCTCAGAGGGCTCCCCACCCAGCACCTCCCAGAACTCTGGGGACTCTTGGCCCTGCACAACGAGTGTGATTTCTGCCTTCCCTTTTCGCTCATTCTTGTTAATTTTCTCTGCAAAGAGCCTGAGGACAGAAGCAAAGCCTTCAGCAAGGTGATATTGTTCTTAGGGATACTTTCCTTTGCCCAGAGCATCCACAGACCCACTTACCTGGCCTTGGTGGTGTTGCTCAGTGTGGCCTGGGCCCCCCGCCACACGTAGATGTCCAGTCCTCGGTCCAGGAGGAACACAAATCTGGATAGGACAGCAATAGCTGTAATGTAACGTAACTCCTGTCCCTGACCCAAAGGGTGGGGCAATGTCCTTTTGAGTGGACCTCAGCATTTCTTCCAAGCTCTAGGGGAAGACTGCTTCCTCATAGATAGGAAGGCAGCTAAGGGCAAGCACCCCACTTCCTCTCCTATCAGTGCTTACCTTGGATCCAGTGAGGCCCCCTTGAGGGGCACAGGCTCCAACTTGATGTTCTTTTTCCCATATACACGGTACATCCTGGGGGCAGGGCAAGAAAGATGTGACGTGGGCACCAAGGGCCACCTGACTTTATTACCCTTGACTCTACCCATTCCCAGCAGTCCAGGCCAATGCCACCCATCTCTACATGCTTACCTGGTGACATAGTGTGTATCTTCCACAGTATAGAAGCCACTGGCTGTTCCGCCTTCGATGTAGGAGATGTCATTGTCAAACACCTATTGTGCGAGTATGGTTCTCCATCATTGAGTTGTTCCCTGCCCTTACCAACTACCTGTCATGCTTGGCAGATTTACACAGCTAGAGTGTAGGTACAAACCCAGTGGTTAGGATGGATACATGTGCTGGCGTACAGGGCTGCACATGTACAGATGGCGGACAGTCTGAGAGGTATTTATGGAAGCTTGCAAACCTGGGTGGCCTGCAGTAAGCGCTCCAGCTGCATGCCATCTCTAAAGGTAACCCAGCTGGCAGTACATCTGTCAACTGGCTTTGCATTCTTTCTTAGGCTCTGTCCTATGCTTAGCCTCAATAGCTATGGGTTCCAGCCCATTTCTCAGCTACTCTCCTTATCCTGTCCACCAGCTCCCCCATGCTAGTCTGCCAATCCCTCTCCCTTAGCCATGGATTTCTGGCTCTGACACCTGAGGCCTCCCCAGACTTCCCCTTGCTGTCTGTAGCTTCTTGTTACTACCTTTGGCCTCAGCTCCTTGCCCCACCTCTATACATAAGGCCTGAGTGTGTGTGTCTGCTGGCTGTACCTGCAGGAACTCCTCGCTCTCATCGCCCATCTCCTCTCGCAAAGTACGGCACTCGGCACCCAGGTAGTTACGCAGATTGACTGCATGGATGGCAGAACAGGCTTTCTTGTCGAGAGTGGCTTCCCCACCAATCCAGTAGTAGATCTCCCAGTTCAGGGAGCCACTGTCATCCAGGAAGGTCTAAGGAGACCAAGGCATCAGCCATGAGGGACTTCATTGGCTATTTATGGTTTCCCAGCCCCAGGAAACGCATGTGGCAGCCACTGCCTAACTATAAAACCTAGCCTGCCCACCTGCCCCCTGGTCTCACTGAGCTACCCCATGCAGAACACTAGGAGCCAGCCCCACCTTGAGCACAATGTAGCAGTCAGCTTCATAGAACTTGCCATGGAAGGCTTCCTCCACCAGCACAGGCACAAAGTTCTCTATTTGCCAGATGGTCAAACCGGGCAGCTGGCCCACATCCTCCGTGAAGAACTCTGAGTAGTCAAGGCGTGGCTTCTCCAGGCTCTGGTCCCAGCGCCTCACCTTCCCTCCAGGTGCTCGGGCATCTGCGCTTTCCTGGGGACATAGGAGCAGTACTTGACTCTACTGAGACACCAGGACTGACCTTTGCTGGCCATTACCACAGGACCTCAGTGTTAGCCGTTCTCTCTTGAGCAGAGTCCAGGCCTGCCCAGCCCTAGCCGAGCTGACTTACCTCTTGTTTTTTGTTTTTCTCCTGGGCAACATCTGACATGCCCTTTAGCACTTGCTTGGCCTGGTCATCCTGGGCTGAGTCCTTGCGCCTTCGTAGCCGCATCTTGCGAGCCAAGGGGTCCTTGGACCCGCTCCCTACTTATGGAAGGTGCAAGCATCTGAGCCCTTGCAAATGGGCAAGCAGAGATCCCGAGAAGTGCCCTTGCTCCCAGGCCAGATCACATTGTACTTACCAGCCGCTGCAGCAGCCACTGTGGCAGGGGAGGCGCCCGCCAGCCTCAGCTGGTTCTGTAGTGAGAAGTCAATGTTGTACCACTCGGAAGTTCGGTCAGCAGGCTTGGGTGGCATGACCAGGCTGGGATTTTCTCTAACATCTAGGACCTGTTAGATGAGCAGAGAGGATGCTGGGCTGGGCACTCACCTCCAAGCCACATCATATCTGACCTCTGTAGCTGGATCCCGGAACAAAGTTCTTACCCAGGCCAACCTGTAGGGGCTTCATTGACACTACAGTGTGTTGAGAGAAGATGTTGTGCCCAGTGGCACCTGGGCATTGCCCCTGGAAGGCTATTGCTAGGTCTCTCTCACTCTAAGACAAAGGCACACCCTCTGCTCCATCTCTTTCTCTCTCTCAAAAAATTTTTATTATGTATAGTGTTCTTCCCACATGGACGCCTGCATGCCAGAAGAGGGCATCAGATCTCATTATAGATGGTTGTAAGCTACCATGTTCGTGATGGGATTGGAACTCAGGATCTCTGGAAGAGTAGCCAGCGATCTTAACTTGCAGAAGGCAAGGCCAGGAGGATCTCTGGAGTCCCAGGGAAGCCTGATCTACACAGTGAGCTCCCCATCTCTCTTGTCTGCACTGCCTGACCTCAATCTCTGTCAGGAAGTGAATGGCCTCTGGGAGGGTCACCAGGCGGTTCTTGTTCAGGACGAGTTTCTTCAGCTTTGGGCACCTGTAAAGACAGTGCCAGCCAGAGCTTAGGGGATATGGTGTTACAATTGGGACCAGAGGAGAGGTGTCTTCCTAATTCTTTGACTCAGAACAAGGGATCCACACGATCTACATGAGGGTCAGTGATTTTCAGAAGAGGATGGGAGGCACAAACTTACATGGTGCTGGACCCCTTCTGACCTAGACCCTAATATTATCCTCCTAAAAGGTGCTCTGGGCCTCCAAAGCCAGAGAAACCTTGTTTCGAAAAACCAAAAAAAAAAAAAAAAAGGTGCTCTGGGGTGGGAAACCTACGATGGGTGTGATGGGTGTGGGGTGGGATGGGGCCTTACCCCTGAAGGTTAACCAGTCATTAGCAGAGTACGGCCGGATCACCAGCTCCCACCCTGACCCACCCTGCCCGGTACCTGCAGAGACTCTCAGGAATCAGCTCCAGGTTGTTGTTAGCTGCCATGAATTCCTCCAGGCTGCTGAGCTTGCCAATGCCAGAAGGTAGCCCGTCGAAGTCCAGCTTGTTGGAGTTGAGGTACAGCTTCTTCAGCTTGGTCAGCTTGCAGATGGCTGACTGGAGGGGCAGGGCATCAGTTAGGGCAGAGCCCAGCGCGCACACCCAGCCCACCCCACACCCCAGGCTCGGGCTCACAGGCAGGGATGTGAGCTGGTTACGAGACAGATTCAAGGTCTCCAGGTGCACCCACTGGTCAATGCACAGGGACAGCTCTGCAATCTGGTTGCTGCTGAGGTTGAGGCGGCGCAGGTTGGGGAGAGTGTACAGGCACTCTGGCACCCTTGTCAAGTCGTTACACGACAGGTCCACATCTGGGGCATTGGAGGGAACATCAGTTAGGACCCACACAGCAGCCATCGGAAGCAAGGCTCACTGTGAATCCCTAAGACCACCAGGTTGTGTGGTCTTAGGCAAAGATCTTTGACCTTTAGTTTCTATGTTTGAGAAACTCCCTCATAGCAGGTGGTCTAGTGACAGAAACCCAGTGTAAATTGACCGTGGTGTGTAGAACTGTAATTCCAGTACTCGAGAGGCTAAGAGAGAGGACTGCTATGAATTCAAGGCCATCCTGTCTACACAGTGAGTAGCAGCAGACCAGGCAGCCAGAGTCACACAGCAAGGCCCTATCTAAAAAGCATTTTCACAGTAAGCTAACGTATCTGTGAAATGGGATTGAAGAGGCAGGACTCCACCCCTTCATTCCCAAGGAAGTAGACAAGCTCAAAGGGGTGAAAACTTAGGGGCTCCCCAGACAGTCCAGACCTGAAAGGTTGCTCAGGCCCTCCAGACTGGTGGGGAGGTTGCTCTGGGTGCGTTGAGTATTCCTCAGGTGCAGGGTCTGTAGGGCCATCATGGCTGGGAGCTGCCTGTAAGGATAGAAGTGGTCACCCTCAGGCAAGTTCATTCAACGGGGGTAGCTGGGGATGGAGTAGACAGGAGGGTAAGATCAAAGGGCGGGACATGATGTCCAGCAAGTACAAGCCAGTGCTGAGGCCTCGGGCCTAGGGTGGGCAGGGCCAGGACCCCTGGGATGCCAGGAAAAGCAAGGCACCTACCGGAGCTGTGCGTGCAGCAGCGGGTTTCCATTCAGCACCAGGGTCTGGAGGTGCACAAGGCGGCGCATCTGAGGCGGAAGGCTCTCTAGGCGGTTCTCACTGAGGTCCAGGTACAGCAAGTCGGTAAGGTTGATAAACAGCTGGTTGGGGATGGAGTCGATGCTGCAGCACAGAGGGGAAGGCTGAAAGTCAACACGTCTCATCTGGCTCTGCACTGCCCACCCGTGGCGCCCTCCATCTCCCCAGCACCTGTTATGGCTGAGGTTGAGCACCAGCATGTTCTTGGCGTTCTCCAGCTCCCGTGGGCATTCTGTCAACTGGTTATGACTCAAGTCCTAGGGAACAGGGGCAAGGTCAGGCCAGGTGGCCCACCTCATGCCTCTGCTGTACTCAGGGATCTGGCAGAACACTGAACAGGGAGTGGGGAGCATTCAGGGCCAGAGGGAAACAGATCCAGACTGGAAGGGGGCGGGGTTAGGGAACAGATTCCATGAGTGATGTTGGCCCAGCACCGTCTATTTAAGGGATGATGACGGCTCCAGAGACTGCTGTCATGAGTGAGGACTGTGTAACTAGGCATCCTAGGGACCAGATGGGCAGGTAACCACTGACCAGAACCGAGAGATCATCCAGCTTGAAGATATCGTCCGGGACTCCAGAGTTCTTCAGGCTGTTGGCCCGAGCTACAATGGCCTAGGTGTATAAGGAAAGAATTTGTGGTCCTTACCCTCTGCCCTGGGGGAGAAACTCAGGCCAGATGAGGGGCTTCTGCAGAGCCTGGAGGCAGCCAGGTCTGAGGACTCGCCCACCTCTGACCTTTGCTCACACAGTCCATCTGGTGGGCTCGTCCTAGCCTCCTGGTGAATGTCTATTCAAACTTTAAAACCCAATACCAGTGTGCCCCAGAGCCCCACAGGGCCCTCAGAGTTGTGGTACTGGGATGTAAACCCAGGGCTTTGTATGTGACACTGTCACTGATCTTCGTTTCCACCTACTTTTTTGTTTCTCCAGAGACTATGTGACTCTGGCTGTCCTGGAACTAGCTCTGTAGACCAGGCTGGCTTTGGACTCACCAGTCTGGCCAGGCTCCTCCTGCCTCTGCCCCCTCCCCCCAGTGTTGGAATTAAAGGCATGTAACCACCACCTTCAACGCCACTTTTTTTTTGTTTTTTTGAGACAGGGTTTCTTTGTGTAGATTTGGAGGCTGTCCTGGAACTCGCTCTGTAGATCAGGCTGGCCTTGAACTCTCAGAGATCCGCATGCCTCTGCATCCCGAGTGCTGGGATTAAAAGTGTGCACCACTTCCGCCCAGCCACTTTTTATTTTTCATTTTTAGTCAAGGTTTCCTTAGCTTGTCCAGAGGAGCTTGAACTCACTCTGTAGCCCAGGAGGGCCTTGAACTTTCCATTTTATCTACTTTAGCCTCTCATAGCTGGGATTATAGTTTCTGTGCCACTGTCTCAGAAGAATACATGTTCTTTCTTTCCTTTTCTTTTATGGGTATGTGTGGATGCCTACATGCATGTAAGTGCACCATGTGCAGCTCCATGCAATCATTGCAGGCTAGTCATGGCCTTGACAGATTGGCGCAAGTCAGCTAACTCCCCAGTTATGTGATCCTAGATATGTCACTTCATCACTGTACCCCTAAGTCTCACTTAGGTGTGTAGAAGTCTGAGCAGAAGTGAGGGCAGTGGTGTTCACTGCTGTTTCTGAGTCTCGATGTTTAATGTGGCCAGAGATACATCTGCTGTTTTCCTACGTGCACCCCACCTGCTGGAGGAAAGGGGAGACTTGAGCAAAGCCAGTGCAGCAGTGTGGATGCGAATGGTCTCCACAGGCTCATCTACTGGAATGCTTGGTCTCCAGCTGGTGCAACTCTGGGAAGCATCAGGAGGTGTGGTCTTGCTAGAGGAGGTGTAACACTGGGGCAGGCTTTGAGCTTTCAAAATCCCACACCGCTCCAGTTGGCTTCTCTGCTTCGTGGCTGTCTGTCTCAACACGTGAGCTGTCAGCTATTGCTCAGCACCACAGCTGCCTGCTGCCTTGCTCCCGACACCATGATGGTCACGCACTCACTCTAACCCTTGAGTTGTGAGCTCCCAAATGGAAGGCTTTCTTTTATAAGCTGCACTGGTCCTGTGTTTTGTCACAGCAACAGGAAAGTAACTAAGACAGCTAGTAAGTGGCAAGGTCCTGGTTTACAGTCAGGAAGCCCAGGTCCAGAGCCTGGTCCTGAATCTCATCCAGGGCTTCTGGCCCTGCAAAGACAGGCCCGACTGAAGCCTGCAGAGCCGGCAGGGGTCTGATTTTCAGTCACACCAGCTACACTGCTGTCTGGGGGTGACTTCTGAAAAGTCACCCTACTTGTGTGGCCGGGTCTTTGCCTGTGTGGTAGATGTAGAGGCACATGGCAAAGAAACCAGCAGCATGTTCTACCTGCAATGGCTGTGCTCACAACTGTCTGTGTGGCCACCACTCACCCGAAGCGCAGGCAGGCTGGACAGCTCCCCATGCAGCGTCGTCAGGTTGTTGTGACTCACTGACAGGTGCTCCTGGACAGGACAAGAATCAAAGGCTCAGGGGGGCCCCAGAGGTGCAGTCCCTGTCTGCCTGTAACTGCACATCTGGAAAGGCCATCCCAATAGTCCCCTCTCTTTTACACCGCACCTCCCCCCCCGGGTTGGGTGCCCATCCCCACTCCATCATCAATTTTTCCTGTTTTCTCTCTATGCGACTAATCTTTTTGGCAGGGTGTGCCCACCTGGCCCAGTCCCATCGACAGGAACCCTCCCTGCTGCCCGGTGCCCTTACCAGCTTCTGCAGAGCCCCTAGCTCTTCAGGCAGGTAGCAGAGGCCCGTGCGGTTCAGCTTTAGCCATCGCAGACTGGTCATAGCTTTAACATTCTCAGGGAAGTAGCCACCCTGGTGAGAGCAGTCAGGGTGAGGACAGTGAGGGAGATGGGTGCCTTGGCTCCCAACACCTTCTGTGGTCCCCATGGACGCTAGGGGCCACAGTCACCTCCTTAGCCTCTTCACTTTGTTTCAATTTCTGACTCACAAAATGACACTAAGGAAAGCCCTGAAGGACAAACCTACCCAAATCTGTCTCTCCTGCAGTGTCCCAGGGAGGCCAGATAAACATGGTGTGTTTCAGGCAATGCCCAGCACTCCACCGTGGTTAGTGGCACTCAGCTTAGCCTGGTGTTCCAGGCAGTTTGGGTTGTCCACAGTGAGAGTCCCCCAGCTGTACTAAGAGCCCAGCTCCCCACCCTTCCTGGCACAATCTCTTCATTCATTCGTTCCTCATATGTAATACCCACTTTACTTCCCCTCGGCCATTTCTTTTTCTTTGGGTTTCCTGAGGAGTTTCTCTGTGTATCCCTGGTGGGCCTTGAAGTCGGAGATCCACCTGCCTCTGCCTCCTGAGTGCTGTGATTAGAGCAGTGCACCACCACTAACCCTGGCCATTTTGACATCTGAGCAGCATGAAGTTTAATTGCCTTTTGTTATTGTCTCCTCCTCCTTCAGCCATAGAGACCCCAGGTGAGGATGTGGACAGGGTTAAGCAGTGACAACTGTGTACAAAGTCAAATGTGTGTGCAGGTGAACCCAGGAGGACTACACCTCCTCCTTAGTCCCCAACCCGACATCTAAAGGGAAGCAGGCCTCTGAGCTACCCCTCCAGTCCAGCTTTCCTCTCCCCTGGGCCCAGGATCAGCCTGCCTCCTCCTCTTCATCATCATCATTATTATTTTCAGGACAGGGTTTTTCTGTGTAGCTATTGTTATTATTAATTATTATTACTTTCAAGACAGGGTTTTTCCGTGTAGCTATGGCTGTCCTGGAATTCTTTGTAGACCAGGGTAGCTTCAATTCAAAGAGCCACCTCCCTCTGCCTCCCAAGTGTTGGAATTAAAAGATTGTGCGCCACCACGCCCATAGCCTGCCTCTGTCTTGACTATTAAGAACTTGGGCGGCCGGTTGCAGGTCCCCTGGCCCATCAGTCTGGCAGTTGCGTAGACCACACCGCGGAGGACCTCGCACACCTGTCAGACACTACAGACTAACAGATTCCTTTCCATTCCAAGCCTCGGAACAGGCTGGTCCTAAACCCCCTGGGGCAGATGAGACTGTAAGAGGAGACGTGACTGCCCCGGGACTACAGGGTGGGGCGGTGGCCGGCTAGGGCGTGTTCCCTCGGTGGTATGGGCTCGGGCGCGTGACCCGCGGGACCCTCTCCAGTGCGGTCGGGGTACCCCCACCCCAGCCCCGGCCCCGGCTCCGGCTCCGGTCTTCCGCGGCGGGCGGGGCAGGCCCGGGAAGACTCCCGGAGGCCCGCCCGCCCGCCCGCCGGTCCCGGAAGCGCAGAGGGCGCGGCCCAGAGGGGGTGGCCTCGGGGTCGCCCTCCCACTGACCCCCCTTGCTAACCTTGAAGTCGTTGCCGCTGAGGTCCACGCCGCGCACGAACGGCAGCACCCCGGTGGCCTCCATGGTGGCGCAGGTCTCCGGCCGGCAGGGAGGACGCGGGGCGGCCGGGAGCCGCGGGCTGGGTCAGCGCCGGCCCCGCCCCTTGAACCGGCGCGCGCCTCCTCCCGGCCGCGGCCTCTGCGGGAAGTGCGGCGCGGCGGCCCCGGGAGCTGGAGGCCTCGCTGGGCCCAGACTTCTCGCGAGTTCGGGGACTGGAGAGGCCTGCAGGGGGGGTCCGGGACTCCCACGGGAAGCGTCCACTACCTCCAGTCTCCAGTCGCAGCGTCGAGGGCGGGGTCCAGGCACTGTCTCTTGGGCCGCTTTAGTCTCTGAAGCTGGCGGTGACCCCGGAGAGGTTATGATGCCAAAGCCAGGGGCACAGGCGGCTGTGCCCACAGACAGGGGGTGGTAGTGAGACTTCCGGGTGTGTGGGGCCTAGCCCTTCTGTTTCTGGACCCCACTTTGCTCTTGTGTAACATGCTTCCCAAAGCTGTCAGTAGCAAATAGGTACTCCATGGGGCAGCTGAGGGATCAGGGAGCGCGAACACTTCAAAATATTAACGAAGCAATGAATTGTCCCCGCTTGGCGTCAGGACTCCCGCCACTGCTCTTTATTGGCTTGCTTCGTGCTCTAGAAGACCCGCTGGGCCAAGCTGTTAGTGACTGGCTAGGCACGGTAGGTGCCTGAGCAGACACAGCGGTCCTAGGGACGTTCAGGGTCTGCAGCTGGTGTTACAGGCGGGGAGACAGGACTGATACTCGACTGAGTTCGAACAGCAGGTGGCAAAGCTCTTTTGCCATTGTGTGCCAGGCAGGCCAAAAGGAAATGAGACCACCGGGCACTCTCGCAGGGCTGAACCTGAGAGACAGAAGGCGGGCCTTTGGACTAAGTGCAGTTCTGTCTGCCTGACTCACCAAGGGAACGTGGGCCCGGACAGCTTTCTCCACACAGAGGATCCCATTACAAGTATACACAAGGTCAGACGTGAGGCTTAGGCAGGTCTGCCGAGAATTGAGTCTTGGCTTCAGTGTGAGGCCCTTTCTCAAAAACAAAACAACATAAAAAAAAAACACCACCCACAATGGAAATAAATTAATCATGCCCCGAATAACTATCACTCACCCCTTCTCCCCCACCTCCCCCCATCTAGCGCAGACAACATAGCCTTGCCCCTTTAAATCCGGAGTGCGTCCGTGGTTTCCGCCCCCTACGGTCCAGGGGCGTGCCTGGCGATCATTGGCCGAGCTGCGCAGTTTTGAGCACGTGTGCGCACGAGTTGTGCTCTCGGATTGGAGCGAGGGCTTGCTTATCCAGCGTGCCTTTCGGGTCACCTGCCGCCCCGGGCTCGGCGTTCGGTTCCCGGGGTTCGCACGTTCCATTCCCAGGCGGGTCCTGGGGCTTCAGGGTCCTGCTCGCTGCGTCCTCGGGTCGGTGCGCTGACGCCGGGACGCAGGTACGGCTGCAGCGTGCAGGGAGGCCCGGGGTCTCCGAGCCCTGGGCGTGGCACGCGTCCCTATGCAGGTGGAGGCGTGGCTTGCGGTCACACCGCGGTGGGAGGGAGGACTTGGGGACTGAAGACCTGAGTTCGAATCCTAGCGTTGGCCCTTCCCGACTTGGGTACTGCGCATGAATTCCCTGACCTCAGTGACTTCCTCCTTGAATAGAGTTTAAGAGTCATTTGCATTTCTGCTCAGCCCTGATCTAGGGCAATCGGTTTTGGCCTGAGGATGACAGGTAACCAGGCTCTGAAGAGTCAGGTTATTTTGTTTGTTTTAGGCAGGATCTTTATTATGTATCTCTGGCTCCCTTACAGCCTTGAAGTCACAGAGATCTGACTGCTTCTGCCTCCGAAGTCCGGTGATTAAAGACCTGCACCACAACCCTGGGCCTGAGTTGGTTATTTTTAACTACCCATTTTATTCCCTCCTTCCCAGAGTTTGAACACAAGACCCCTCCACGTGCAGGGCTGAGTCCCATTTTAGCCAGGTGATGGAGTGTAAACCCCCTCCATTTTTGAAAGTGGGTTCCTGGTCTGAGGGCAGTGGTAGCCAGTATAAAGAAGCAGAAACCACTTTTGAGCTTGTGTTGAACCCCCTGGCTGACCTTTAACCTTGCCAGGCCCAGGACAGGGTCTTATTTTTAGTCTGGGAGAGCAGACAGGTGTCCCAGCTGAGTCACAAAGTGCTTCAGGCTTCAGCTACTCCAGGCATCTTGTCACTTGGCAACTGGGTCCCCAGGCACCCATGGCCCTGAAGGGAGGGCTGAGGCCCTTGGGCCCCAGCAGGCAATGACCTTCTGGCTTAGTGGACTGGGCCCTGGAAATTTCTGTTTCCTTTCCCAGGCTCTTGATCCCGTCCAGTTTTCCTTACAGAAAAACAAAGCCCTTGGCTTTAGGCCTTTCTCTCGCTTTCTTCCCATGCCCAGCATTGTTCCAAGTCCAAGGGGCCTGCAGCCACTCCTGACATAATGGGATATTTAGGGTTCCTTTGCTCACCACTGGACCATGGGGCCTTTATCTTTGACTTGTACATGCCCCCAGCCTGGCCTCTGATTCAGTTCTCCTGCCCCTGAAAGTTTTCCTGTTAAGATGACAGGGTGGGGGATGGAGGGGGTGTCAGTGTGTGACTGGATCCCTGAGTTTGCTGAGGGTTTGTCAAAGGTCTGACAGGCAAGCATCCAGGCAGGCTTCCTGGGAACATATATTGCAAGTCTTTCTGGGGACCTCTGGCTCCTCTTGATAGGCTCTCACACAGGGTGGCTGTTCTAGGTGTGTCAGATTAGGAGTCTGAGAACCTGACCAGGAGGCATGTGGAAAATGGAAATATTCAGGTTTTGAGGGTACGTGAGTCTGGAGGCTATGTTGTGAGTCCCAGACTGTAACACTCTGTTGACTTGGCAGCTTGTGTCTGTAGAATAAGAGTAGTGATGGTGAGCTCTGTTTTTCAAGGTCTTGGCAGATGTCAGAGACCTTGGAGGGTGAAGCCAGGAATCAGGCTTGGAGCCTTCCTATGGGAGTCCCCTTCCAGAGTGGGGAGCTGTGGGTTTTGGATAGGGGCCTGGCAGTTCCTCTACTTCCTTTTTTTTTTGTTTGTTTGTTTGTTTTGTTTTGTTTTTTCAAGATGGGGTTTGGAGGCTGTCCTGGAAGTAGCTCTTGTAGACCAGGCTGGTCTCGAACTCAGAGATCCGCCTGCTTCTGCCTCCCCAGTGCAGGATTAAAGGCATGCACACCACCGCCTGGCCCCCTACTTTCTAAGAAGCCCTTTGAGCAGTCCTTTTCTCAGGAAAGCACCTGCACAGTCAGCCCTACCAGTCTGGCTGCCCGCTCCCTCAGCAGCACACCCCTGCCTCTCTTGCAGGCGACCATGGCGGAGTTCTCACGGAAGCAGAGGAAGCAGCGCGGCAGTGAAGGCCTGGGCAGTGTGGTGGACTTCCTCCTAGCTAATGCTCGTTTGGTGCTCGGTGTGGGCGGGGCTGCAGTGCTGGGCATTGCCACCCTGGCTGTAAAGCGGGTAAGGCCAGGCCAGGCTGGCAAGGCCTGCCTGAGACCTCCACAGGAGGAGGCGGGACTGGGGAGCTGGGGGGTGGTGGGACCCTTTTTGTTGTTTTGCTTTTGGAGACAAGAGTTTCTCTTTGTAGCTCTGGCTGTCTAGGAACTCACTAGGTAAGACCAGGCTGGCCTGGAATTCACAGAGATCCTCCTGCCTCTGCCTCCCGAGTGCTGGGATAAAAGGCGTGCGCCACCACCGCCTGGCAGTGATGGGACTTTTTGAGGCAGGACTGGAACAACGCGGGCCCCCTGCTTTTTCACCCTAGCTTTCTGGCGTGCTTTCCCCCGGCTCCCGATGCTCTGATCTGTGTCACTTTGCCTGTAGCTCATCGACAGGGCCACTAGCCCTCGGGATGAGGATGACGCCAAGGGGGACAGCTGGAAGGAACTGAGCCTGCTGAGAGCCACATCACACCAACAGCCCCAGCCCCCCCCTGCCGCCCTCAGCCAGCCCACACCTCTTGTGTCCCCCTCACCCTCTGCCCCAGGTGAGAGGCTCTTCTTCCCATCTCATGTGGCGAGTTGCGCGCAGGAGATGCAGTCTTCACAAGGTTTTGCTCCTCCCTGGGTTGTGGGCTCCTCAGATGATTAATGGGTATTGTAGGTCCATGTTTTTCTGTTGTAGTAAGGATAAAACCCAGACCCTCACATATGCCGAGCCGGCGCTCCACCACTGGGTTCTTCCACAGTGATTTTACCTGCCTGCTTTCAACTATAACAAGGTTGCACCATTTGATGGTGGGGAGCCTCAGATGGGGAAACTGAGGCCTGGAGAGGGGCAGGATCTGTCTTCCCCATTCTCCGTGAAGTTGTTTTAGTTGTAGGAGCCAAAGTGTTGGGACTCTGGGCCAGTGAGACTATCTTTGTCATCATGCCCTCACTGTCCTAAGGACCTGACCTCAGGGCTTTCTCAGTGGCCGTCACAGGTGAGGATGAAGCCGGTGCGACTGTACAGCTAGTAACCAGGTAGTTTTCATAACTTGTGGGACCTTCTGATGTATTCTCCTGGCTGCTTCTCTCTGCAGTGGAGCCCACACCTGCTCATTCGCAGACAACACAGACACCTCAGCGCAGCTCCCTGGCACCCTTGTGCCTGACGTTCCAGGAGAAGCTGCTGGCATTTGAGCGCAATCATGTGATTGTCCCGGAAGCCCGTGTGGCTTTGGTGAAACAGCTGGCTGGAGACATTGCCTTGGAGCTGCAGGCCTACTTGAGGAGCAAATTCCCGGAACTGCCCTTTGGTGCACTTGTGCCCGGTGGGCCTCTCTATGATGGGCTACAGGCAGGGGCTGCTGAACGTGTGCGCCTGCTGGCACCCCTGGAGTTAGAGCCAGATCTGTGGAGCCTGGTACCTGGTATGGACACTGTGGCCAGGGAACCTCGATGCTGGGCTGTGCGCAGGACCCAGCTTGAGTTCCATCCCCGTGGGCGTAGCCCATGGGACCGCTTCCTCGTTGGGGGTTATCTTTCCTCTCGTGTCTTGTTGGAGCTGCTACGGAAGGCCCTGGCAGCCTCCGTCAACTGGCCAGCCATTGGTAGCCTACTTGGATGTCTGATCCGGCCCAATGTGGCTTCGGAGGAGCTGCTGCTGGAAGTGCAGCACGGGAGCCTGGAGTTCACATTAGCTGTGCTCATGGTGGTCCCTGGGGCCAGCACTGATGACCGCCTTCTGCTAGCTTGGCCCCTGGAAGGGCTGGCTGCCAATCTCTGGCTGCAGGATCTGTATCCAGTAGAGGTTGCCTGTTTGCGGGCCCTGGATGACCAGGATGCTGGCACTCGCCGGAGGTTGTTGCTGCTGCTGTGTGGTGTATGTCGTGGCCATCCAGCTCTGGTACATCTGGGTTGGAGCCACCTGACTCAGGTGGTTCTGCATCTGGGTAAAGAGGAAGTGGCCTGGACCGAGGAGGCCTTAGGGGATCGATTTCTGCAAGCCCTGGAATTTCTGGTGGGCAGCTTGGAGCAGGCTAGCCTGCCCTGTCACTTCAACCCCAGCGTGAATCTCTTGGGCAGTTTTCGGGAAGAGGAGATCGATGACATTGGCTACCTACTGTACAGTGGTCTCCAGGTCCCTGAGCGCCTGCTCCAGGTGGATGAGGACCGTGATTGGCTTGTTTTCTGATGTTGGAGAGCAGCAACCATCTCCCTCCCAGTGTGTGGTTTGCTTTATTTTAGCCAGAGTGGAGGGGAGAATACATTACCTAAGTACATGGGTGGGGCATATGCCTGGGTGATGGTAACCAGGATTCCCAAATCCAGAGTCTGGGTTGCTGTCACCTAATGTGGCTAGCCTGTCCTGGCTTTCAGTGCCAACCACACTGATGCTCCCTGGCCCTCTGGGGTTAACTTAGGATCTTGGGCTCAGTCTATCATCACCAGCAATGAACTCAAGAATGAGACATGGCTTTTTATTTATTTTATTGTTTTTTTTGTTTTTTCGAGACAGGGTTTCTTTGTATTGTTTTGGAGCCTGTCCTGGAACTCGCTCTGTAGACCAGGGAGACATGACTTTTGATTTCCTAGGCTTCATCTAGTGAAAGGCTGGTTCCAACGTTTTGTCAAGAAGGATATTTAATATTCTTGGTTGGGTGACAGCCATAAGTATCCTGGAGGCACACACAGCTGGTCATTCAGTCGTATGTGTTTGTTATTCCCTGGGCCTGGAATCACCCAGTACCCTGGAGGATAACTTTTTAGGATGGTGTTTTCCTGATGGTCATGCATTTGTTTTTCTGGTTGAGTCCTCAGGCCTTGAAGTGGAAGTTGTCTCCCGTGCTGCCTGCCTGCCTGCCTTATACCCCAGGGAAGGAAGGTCTTGTATCCTCCTGCTTGGTGGGTTTTCTCTGGAGGTCCCAATTACCTCTGGGAGAGCCCCTTCCTCATTGAGGAGCTGAGCTCTGTGCTGTCTATGCAAGGCTACCCCACATTGGCTGCTTCTGGACCTCACTGCAGGACAGAGGACATGCCCCTCCCAGAGGCCTGTGTGCAGTCCTAGCCTCTGCAGTGTGCCAAAATATTCATGGTAAATGTCTGTGCCCTCAGCTGGCACCCTGGTTAAGGTGGCATGACTGGAGGATAGAGATTTACCTCCTCTGCCAGGGGCCTTTCTATTTTAGGTACCCCCACACACACCGTACACAGTGAAACAAAGCTATACCTTGAAGAAAGAGTGTGAATAAAAGGAGAAAATTTTTTTTATGAATGTGTGATTCTTGCTGGCAGAAAATGGTCTTAATACCTTTGTAGGTGGCTGCTTGGAGCTTCACAAGTCTTGTAGCTGTCTTTGTGTGGAGGCTTGAGGTCACTGTGGAGATGGCCAGATTTCTGCTTTAGAAGTTTTCAGGAGCTAGGCAGTGGTGTCGCACATCTTTAGTTCCAGCACTGGGGAGACAGAGGCAGGTTGATCTCTGTGAGCTTGAGGCCAGCCTGGTCTACAGAGTGAGTTCTAGGATAGCCAAGGCTATACAGAGAAACTCAGTCTCAAAAAACAAAACAAAAAATCACAACAACAAAAATGTCTCTTCGGGCTGAAGAGAGGACTCAGTGAGTATACCTTCACCCCTACCACCCATAACCAGGGCTGAGACTTGCCATCTGCACTATGGGAAAAGAGCAGCTGGGTCTCAGCCTGAGAGGCCATCATGTATGTGGCCTCAGTAACAACTGAAGATCCAAACATTTGAGGGATACTGTTAATCTTTTGGTTCAGACCATCTCTGCCTCAACTTGGCCTTTAACGATGGTTTTATCTGGCCTTGAGCTCATGCTACATTCACATGCAATCTTGTAGGCCTGTGAGAGATCTGGGGCATAAGTCTCCCCTTCGTTGGAGACAGGGTGGCCAACGGGTGGATGGCCAGGGAGCTGCCTCACTGCTCAGGTTTCTAAAGTAAGCTTTCAATTCCACAAGTGGCCTTTGATGCTTGTACTTTTGTTTTTTGATTTTCAAGTCAGGGTTTCTCAGTGTAGCTCTGGCTGTCCTGGAACTTGCTTGTAGACCAGACTGGCCTCAAACTCACAGAGATCCCCCAGCCTCTGCCTCCCAAGTGTTGGGATTTTTTTTTTCGAGACAAGGCTTCTCTGTATTGTTATGGAGGCTGTCCTGGAACTCGCTCTGTAGACCAGGCTGGCCTCGAACTCAAAGAAATCCGCCTGCCTCTGCCTTCCGAGTGCTGGGATTAAAGGCATGCGCCACCAACGCCCGGCTGCCAAGTGTTGGGATTAAAGGCATGTACCATCACTGCCCAGCACTGTTTGTACTCTTAATACAATTTTCCTTTGTAATCCGGTAAATGTCTTTAAAAACAGCCTTTGTTAGTCAACCAGTTGCAGCATAAAAACCCTGGCACATACCCCAAGGCAACACCAACCTCTCTGGTGACCCATGGATCCTCCACACTGTTTGACAAACTCCTAAGGTCTTTTTAGTTCACTAAGGCTGGGCCTTAGTGGGTGGATGGCCCGATGCCCAGGCCTTTTCACTTTCATGGATTTTAGAAGGACTCCTCCACATTTGGATCACAAGCAGAATGAGTACCACTTCCCAGATGGAAGCGGGCATTTGTGATATGGCCTCAGTAACAGTTAAGAAAGAGACCTGTCACTTGGGGCAGATCTTCCATTCCAAGGACGATAGCAGGACATGAGTGTCTTGGTTTGCTTTCTATTGTGATAAACACCATGACCAAAAGCAACTTGGGAGAGGAAAGGGTTTATCTAGTTCATGTGTCCCTAACCAGTCAACTAAGGGAAACCAAGGCAAGAACTCAAGCAAAAAGGACCCTGGAGGCAGGAGCTAATGCAGACAACATGAAGGCTGCTTCCTGTCTCATTCCCGATGACTTGCTCAGCCTGCTTTCTTCCTTCCTTTTTTTTTTCCGAGATAGGGTTTCTCTGTAGCTTAGGAGCCTGTCCTGGAACTCGTTCTGTAGATCTGGCTGTCCTCAAAGTCACAGAGATCCGCTTGTCTCTGCCTCCTGAGTGCTGGGATTAAAGGCTTGCGCCACCACTGCCCCAGTCTGTTTTCTTATACAACTCAGGAATACCTGCCCTGGAGTGGCCCTGTCTGCAGCTGGCCTCTCCCACATTAATCTGATTAAGACAACCTGCTACAGACTTGCTTACCGCCCAATCTGATGGAAACATTTCTTATTTAAATTCCCTTTTCCCAGATGACTTTAGCTTGCATCAAGCAGACATAAAGCTAGCCAACACACTGTCTAAAAAGGATCACCTCATTCCAGATGAGGCAACTGAGGATCCATGGGTATGAAGGGGAATCAGGAGCCAACCTGAAGCTAGATTTGTCTAGTCCTGTCCCTAGTGCAGCCTGGCCCAGCAGTTCTTGGTCTCAGCACACCCAGGAGTGTTACCTGTGTCCATTTAAAACTTAAAAAAAAAAAAAAGCTGGGTGGCGGTGACACACACCCTTAATCCCAGCACTGGGAAGGCAGGGGCACATGTGTCTCTGAGTTCGAGGCCAGCCTCGTCTACAGAGTGAGTTCCAGGACAGTCAGGGCTACACAGAGAAACTCTTGTCTCAAAAAACAAAACAGACACACACACACACACACACACACACACACACACACACACACACACACATACACACACACACGTAGTGGGAATCAATGCTACCTGAAAAGGAGGTCTAAGATGCTTTATTGAATATAGACATCACTTACTGGGAAGCGCTCTGTGGTCCCCATAGCAGCCAGGATCCAAACGAGAGATTTGCTTTCTCTTCCCCTTTTATCTCTCACCTGTCCCACATACCCCTGTGGAGTGTGGACAATATCTTGGGTATGTGGGCTTACACACACACACACACACACACACCACAGAGAGGGGGGAGATTAATTTTTAGGGCACCTTGGGGTCCTGAACCTGTGAACTGTGGTATAAATTTGAGGTGTCCCTAAAAGGCTCATGTATTGAAGGTTTGGCCCATGTGGCTGATGATTCTGGCAAGCTCAAAAAAAAAAAATCTGTATTAACACACATGGGTGGGGTAAGCAGAGCCTGTGCTCAGCATGAGGTCCTGGCTTTAGTCATCAGCACAAATTAAAGGCAACTGAGCTGAGCAGTGGAGGCCCTGCCCACCATCACAAAACACACAAAGGACTTGCAGGCCTTCAGCATGATGTGATCTGCCTGTCAGACTGTCTCTAGCACAGAGACCTATCTGGCAGCTGCCTTTAGAGTTGTTTTCAGAGATGGGATTCATGGCTGTGCTGGTTAGTTTTTTGCCAAGTTGGAACAGCTAGGGATGAACCTGGGATGAAGGCACCTCGATTGAGAAGGTATCTCCATCAGATGGCTTATAGGCAGGTTCATGGGAAATTCTCTCGGTTAATTATTGATGTGGCAGGGCTCAGTTCACTGTGGGCAGTGCCACCCCTGGCCAGGTGGTCAGTCATACAAGAAAACACTACTGAGCAAGCCATGGGGAGCCAGCCAGGAAGCAGTGTTTCTCCATGCTCTCTGCTTCAGCTCCTGCTGACTTCCCTCCATGGCAGGCTATAAGCTGGGGGATGAAATGAACTCTCTCCTCCCCAAGCTGCTGTAGTCACGGTGCCCATCACAGAAACAGAAAGCAAAACCAGGACAGTGTCTTTGACAAAGAAATTACTTTCAGGGAAAGCCAAGTATGAGTTAAAGTTGGATTTACTTAAAGCAGAAAGGTACAGCGGGAGGAAGAGAGGCAAGAGGCTGAGACCTATGAGTGTGTATGAGACAAGATGAGTGTGGGTGTACAGCTATTGGTCACGGTGGTTCTCAAGTTACAGCTCTAGCCCTGCTGAGAAATGTCCCTCCCTCCCCCATTCTGGTATTGCTCAGTATAGCTTAGCAGACATACACTAAGCAAATATTAGCATGGCCCCTGCACAAGGATGACATGCAAATCCACCCAGTGTTCCCTATCTTTCTTTGGTCTCGTATTATACTCATGTCTATAACCTGTGATAGAAGGAAAGAATGGAAGTTTAAGGGAGGTTTACGAGGGTGCTGTTGAGGGTTAGGGAATAGGCTCTGCTTGAAACTCAATGGGATACAGCACCCTAAGCGAAGGCAAGCCTGCTTACTGCCCTGAATGTCTTTGGAAAACACAGGTAATTTTGGTTTTATCATTGCTGTCTGAAAAATTCCAATTTCATTAGCAGGGCCCACACACAAGCCTGAAGTTCCTCCTCCCTTTCTGCCTCAAGTGACTATAACAGCACCCAGACTCCACGGCCAGCAGAGCAGGAATAGTGGTGCATGCCGGAAACTCTGGGAGGCTGAGGCAGAAGGCGCGGGTTCAAGATCATATTACTCCACAAGCATAGCACAGCTGTAAGACAAGGACAAAAGAACAACTGAGGCTGTGGAAGAACAGTAACTTCCCATGTTGTTGTCGAGACTAAAATGCTACTGACACTATAAACGCTTAAAGTTAGCTAAGGTTTTAACATTTCATTACTATACATATATCCAAAACACTGAGATGGCATCCAGATACCAGTGAATGAATGTCACAGCAGCCCCACTCACAAACAAGTGACAGCAGTCCCTCTCAATTGATCCAGAGCCCTGGAGTCTACTGTGGGCACAAAACATCTCTGAGAGAGGGCGAGGGGGCTTTCTCATCTTCACTGTGCCTGATGTAAATGCTATCATTGTATGCTGCTGTGAACTCGGGGATGTGAGAGGATATGGCCCCACATGTAAGTAGGACTACTTACCATACCAATGGGAGCTTATTCAGACATAAAGATGGAGTGTGGGGGCTGGAGAGAGGAGAAGCAGGTAGGAGCACTTCTCATCCTAAAGGACTAGAGTCTGATTCAAGCACCCACATGGGGTGGCTTACAACTACTTGTAACTCCAGCCCTAGGGATCTGATGCCCTCTTCTGGCCTTGGTGGGTACCTGCACACATGTGGCATACATTTCCAACACACATAATAAAAATAAATCTTAAAAAAAATGGAGTAATGACTTATAGTATAATCTCAACAAATCCTGTGAACATTGTGCTAAGGGAAAGAAGCTAGGCACAGAAGGATCCTAAGTGTGGCTGCAAAGTGTCCCCACTGAGCAAGGGTAGGAATATTCATTGGTGAAGCCTGGCTGCCAGCCAGGCTGAGAGCTACTGGTCTAAGCAAAGGCTATATAGTTCAGACCTGAAAAAACTCCTGTTGCTTCACAAATTAGCAACTCAAGGAGCAATTCACATTTCACTTTTCAACTGTAGGACAAAGCTAGCACGGCACTTCTAGAAGTTTATGGGGGACAAAAAAGAAAAGAAAAGGCACATGGCCTCCTCTGGAAAGTATGAAGAAGGTCAATGCTCCAAATCGGGCAGCTTCAAGGGGAGCCACAGCAGGGAAGACCTGGGACAAGAGGGAGCTGAGATGCGGTGGGGAAGGTCCCAGGAAGAAGCCCCTTCGCCTTACTGGCTCTCTCTGCACACCACCAGAAAAAGTGGGTAAGTTTTTATTAAGGCACATGGACTATGGGTGTCCTAGAGGAGCAGGAACGGAAGCATCCGCAGACACACCAGGAGAGCCACTTCTCAAACAGTTGTGCAGAGAGTCCCATCCGGGCTGCCCAGAGCCTGTGCTGGCTGGAAACACTACCCGCTTGTCACTTGGCAGCCAGCAGCCAGTCAGGGCTTGGGTGGTCACCAAGGTGTCAGTTTGTGCTTCCACGTGGACTGACCATCTTCTCACTTCTCAGAAGTGCAGTAGCTAAAGCCACTCCTGAGCAGACACAGGAGCAATACTCAGCAGAGGCAGCAGACAGTTCTCCAGGGGTCCCCATCTTTGTACCCCCTCAACAAGGAAGGCCAACTCCAAAACCCAGTTCCTCTCCATGTTTTCAGGACAGTGGTGGTCACCCGGTCCCAGTTAGCTCATTTCCTGGTCTAGGCAGCTTCTTCCACTTTGCCTGCCCTCATCGGTTCTGAGGACAAAAGGGGCGGGTGTGTCCAGGCTGGTGGCAAAGGCTACATTTCCTGGGCTTTTTGGCTATAGATCCTGCATCTGAGGAACCAGCTCTTAGTCTTTTGCTTGTAGCCTCTGGTCTCTGGGCTTTTCCTCTGCCTCTGGGCCATGGTGGAGCTGCAAGACTCCCTGTGGGAGGAGACAGGGAAAAGTTGAATTCACAATTGAAACCCTCGGGTAGCAAGAAACAGGCGCAATGCCAGTTGTGGTGGTGTGTGCCTGTAATCCTAGTAGCTGAGAGATAGAGGCAGTTCAAGGACAGCTTGGGCTATGTAAGACCCTGTCTCTGCAACAAAACCCAAACCAAGGTACAATGTTGGGTAGAAGTGGCATCTGTTTTACAAGTCACGCGAATCCATGGGCTCGATTCCTTTTGCTCTGTGAAGGCCACCAAGAATATGGCTTATCCTACCACCTGTTACCTGCTTTATTCTTCTTTTTAAATTATTTTATTTTATACACTTTAAACCCATCACTCAGGAGGCAGAGGCAGGGGTATCTCTGTGAGTTCAAGACCAGCCTGTTCTACAAAGCAAGTTCCAGAACAGTCAAGGCTATTACACAGAGAATCCCTGTTTCGAAGAATAAACAAAAAGCAGAAAAAGACCCCAAAATCTTTTTATTTTTACCTGTGTGTACATATATGTTTATATGAGTGCAGATGCCTGCAGGAGAGGATACTGGACTTCTGGAGCTGGAGTTACAGGAGGTTGGTTGTGAGCCACCTGATGTGGGTGCTAGAACTGGACTCAGGGTCTAACCACTGAGCCATCTCTCCAGCCCCGCTTTCTTAGTCTAAAGAAACCGGAGTTCTCAGAGACCCTGACCTGATGAGAAGGCAGCGGTGTACTTTCTACACACCCTTTCTGTGTAGCAGAAACCCAAGCACTCAGTAGCAGATGGGGAGTCTGTGGTCAGCAGCCACTTCCTTGCGTGCAGTTCTTAGCACCACAAGGAACCTTCTAGGCTATAAATAGGCTGCAGTGCTGGCTGTTCTGTCACTGAAGACATTTAGTTATCTGGCTCAGAGGCCATATGTCACTTCTGGTGGCCCTGGGAAGTCTCAGGCACATCAAGGCTACGGGCTCGGCAGTTACTTCAGATATGGGCATAGCGAAGGGCGCACTGACTGCGGGCCTCAAGTCCTATGCTCTTCCCCAGGTCTTCCGGTGCTTCTTGCATCTGGCGGCCCGCATGTGAAGTCAGCCATGGTGGCACATGCCTGCCATTCTGGCACTCAGGAGGCTAAGGCAGGTTTGTAAGATTGAGGCCAGCCTGGGCTACATATATAACCTGCCTCAAAATATGCACCCCAGTCACAAATAAATGACTAAAATGAAAGGTCATAGTCTCAGACTAACTTGGCTCCTTTAGAAACAGGAGTCTTACAGAAATCAGTGATGTCATCTTATTGCTGAGGAGACCAAGGGTATACAACTGGGATCGGAAAGATCTGTGCAACTGGAAAGTTGCTGCTTAGCCTTGGGTTTACTGCTGTGCATTGCAGTGGCAGGTACCCATCTGATACAATGTCTGGGTGCCAGTCCTTAGGACATTCATTCCTGAGACTCCGGGCTGTGCACACCACAGTCAGTGTGCCATCAGGTAAAGTGAGGCTGACATCACCTAGCAAGGGTGACAGCACACAGGGGAAGAAGACACTCTGTCATCGTGACACCAAATAAAGCCCTTCCCTGGCCTGCACCTCACCTCATTTGCAAAACTAACCTACTGCAGATGAAAGAAACCTGCTATAGAAAGTGTTTAGATCACAGCGCTGGGCACAGTAGCTACTCTCTGATGTGAACCCGAGACCCTGAGGTTCCCACCTCGCTCAGCAATGAGGAGACAGAGGCAAAGCAGTGGCCTTGCTGATCCCCCACTACTCTCAGCTGCCCGCCCTTCTTCTCTGGTCTCTGCAATGGGAGCCACTGTGAGAACCTATGATGGACCTGCTCTCTCACCTGGAGCCATGTTCTCATCCACCCACTGAAAGAAGCCACACTGCTGCTCTCGTGGCTTGGCGCAGGTGTGGAACTGGCGTCCTTTGTTGGGCCCATCCTTCTGCACAGTCCGTGTGACAGCAGGCTGCCCGCACAGGCAGGATGTACTTCCATCACCGTCACCGCCAAGGCTGCCAAACCCATCCTCGTTGTTGCCTAAAGCGGATGGGAATCCCACAGAGTTGCCTGGGGGTCTTGATGCAGAGGTGGGGGGCCCTCCTCCCGTGGGATGGCTGCTGTCAGCCCACAGAAAGAAGTTGCAGCCACCACCGTTGCACTTATAGAAGTGCCGGCCCTGGTTGGGGCCCTGCTTGCGGACAGTGAGCAGCACGGCCTCCTGGCCACAATTGCAGATGACAGAGTTGCTTTCACCAGCAGCAGCGGGTGGCAGGAGGGCTTCGGCCGTTGCCTTTGAAGGTCCAGTATGTCTGTTGACCAGAGGTTGAGAGAGGCTATGCTGACTGCTGTCCATCCTGTTGAGGGCCTGGCTGGCCTGCAGGTGGCCAGAGGGCTGGGTAGCTCTTGGGGGGCCCTGTGAAAATCGCAGGCCCAAGATTTCCTTTAAAGTTTCATCACATCCACCTATGCAGCCAACGAACTCCAGGGGCATGGTTGGGGGAAGGCTCCCACGCTTAAACTTCAACTTCAACCTAGTGAGGCCAAGATGAAAAAACATGTTAATCTCTGCCCTGGTGCACAGTAGTCACAGTCACAGCCTCCCTGCAGACCCCAGGAAGCCCATTCAGAGTACAGAGCAGCAAGCGTACAGACAACTTGCAGACTCTCATAAACCACCCAAATATAGGCACCTCAGGAAAGTTCTCTCTACACCACTGGCCCCCTCAGGAATCTGGGGCTATTTCAAGGTAAGGAAGTCAAGAATGCATCTAGTCTGCTCTCCTGTTTCCATGTGTGCACAATAGAGTTTTCCAGAAATGATGAAACACATGATAGTTCAGTGGAGTACAGGGACAAAGATGGAAACAAATTCAGTCTTGCCTAAATGAAAACCAGTATTATTATCTTCAGTAGTGCTGTGTATCTGCTTAGGAAAGTAAGTATTTTATCCTATAAATCATTTTAAAATATGTTAGTAAGAAACGCATGTGCCGAGCCGGGCGTTCATTGGTGGCGCACACCTTTAATCCCAGCACTCGGGAGGCAGAGGCAGGCGGATCTCTGTGAGTTCGAGACCAGCCTGGTCTACAAGAGCTAGTTCCAGGAAAGCCTCCAAAGCCACAGAAAAACCCTGTCTCGAAAAACAAAACAAAACAAAACAAAAAAAGAAATGCATGTGCCAAGTGCCAGCACTCAAGAGGAAGAGGCAGGCGAGTCACTATGAGTTCTGCAGAGCACAGCAAAACTAGATCAGTCAGCTGCTGGTGCTGATGCTGAGACTGCGAGCTGAGAACAGAATTCCCAAGAGCAGTGGTTCTCAACCTCTTCAATTCTGTGACCCTTTAATACAGCACCTCATGTGGTAGTGGCTCTTAACCTTAAAATTATTTTTGCTGCTATTTCATATCTGTCATTTTGCTACTGTTATGAAGTGTAATGTAAATATTTTAAATATTTTTGGAGAAAGAGGCTTGTCAAAGGGGTTGGAACCCACAGGTGGAGAACTTCTACCCTAGACACTCCTGCCTGGGTGCCAGTGCGAGGACAGGAGCGAGCTCTGCAGTGCATGCCCCAGAGACACCCAGCTCACCTGTACACGGGGGGCTGACAAACGGAACACACAGTGCTGTCCCTGCTGGCCTCCAGCACCGAGTCAGGAAACCACACAGCTGCCCGACATTCTGGGAACCCTGTGCAGCTAAGGTAGAACCTGGAGAGCAGAGCACACAGGTCAAATCCAGGAATTCAGAAGGTACACTGCTTACATCCATCTGCCAGGAAGACCCTTTTTCATTGTCTTGGTTTTCTGAGACAGGGTCTCACTGGCTAGCCCTGGAACTTGCTATATAGACCAAGTTAGCCTGATCATAGAGATTCAACCATCTCTGCCTCCTGAGTTTTGGGATTAAAGGTGTTCTCCATCATATTCTACCATAAGAAAATCCTTCTTGCCTGTTTCTCAATCCCCCCCAAAAAAGCAACAACAACAAAAAACAAACAAAAAAACGAAGCTATAGCTGGGTGGTGGTGGCAATGCCTTTAATCCCAGCACTTAGGAGGCAGGACCAGGAGGATCTCTGTGAGTTCAAGGTCAGCCTGGTCTACTGAGTGAATTCTAGGACAGGCTCCAAAGCTACAGAGAAACCCTGTCTCAAAAAACAAAACAAAACAAAGCAAAACAAACAAAAATTGCAGTTATAGCCAGGCAGTGGTGGCTCATGCCTTTAATTCCAGTACTCAGGAGGCAGAGGCAGGTCAATCTCTGTGAATTAGAGGCCAGTGTGGTTGTGGTAATTAGAAAGAAAATGGCCCCCAAAGGGAGTGGCACTATTAGGAGGCGTGGCCTTGTTGGAGGAAGTGTGTCACTGTAGGGGCAGTCTTTAAGGTCTCTTTTGCTCAAGCTTCCCTCAGTGTGACTGTCAGTCCACTTCCTGTTGCCTACACTCTCAACTATTCCTCCAGCACCATGTCAGCCTGCATGCCACCATGCTCCCCACCATGATGATAATGGACAGAATCTCCCAAACTGTCAGTGAGCCCCCTCAATTAAATGTTTCATTTATAAGGGTTGCCATGGTCATATTGTCTCTTCACAGCAATAGAGAACCCTAAGATACTGGTCTACAGAACAAATTCCAGAGCAGCCAAGGCTACAAAAAGAAGCCCTGTGAGAACAGAGGATATGCAGCTATTGCTGAATCTACTTAGATCAACACCATCAGTGACTAGGTGTGGTATTTCTCCCTTAAATAATCCCAGCACCTGGGAAGCTGAGGAAGCTTTAGCAAGTGTGAGGCAGGCCTGGGCTACTTACTGAGTTTTAGACTATCTCATGCTACCTAGTGAATGAGACCCTGTTTAAAAGACAAAACAAGGGGGGTAGGGTAGGGGGAGTGGTAGTGGTGGTGGTGGCGCACGCCTTTAATCCCAGCACTCGAGAGACAGAGGCAGGTGGATCTCTGTGAGTTCGAGGCCAGCCTGGTCTACAAGAGCTAGTTCCAGGATAGCCTCCAAAGTCACAGAGAAACCCTGCCTTGAAAAAAAAAAAAAAAAACCACTGACTAAGGTGAAGTCATATATGAAGTACCTGTGCATACACATACAATATTGTGTTTAGTCTCACCTCTTTAAAAATTGCCACTCTGTGAGTTCAAGGCCAGCCTGATCTACAAAGTGAGTACCAGGTCAGCCAGGGCTACACAGAAAAACCCTGTCTCTAAAAACAAAACAAACAAACAAAAATTTGCCACTCTTAGCCCAGTATGGTAATGTATGCATATATTCCAGGCACTCTGAAGGTGAGACAGGAGGATTTAGAGCTCAGGGTTAGCTTAGGCTACATAAAAAGACCCTGGCTCAAAGACAAAACAAAACAGAAATCCATTCTGGGTTAGGGGTAGGTAGTAGAAACCTGCCAAGTATTTGAGGTCCTGAGTTTGACTCCTACAATTCAAACAACAAAACTAAAAGTAGGCAAACAACAAAAATCCCTGGGGTTAAAGAAATGACTCCATGGTTAAGAACACTACCCATTCTTGCAGAGGACCCAGGTTTGTTTCCCAGCACCAAAACTGGACAGCTCCAGTTCTAGAAGATCCAAACCCTCTTCTGGATCCTGCAGGCATCTGCATGCTTGTGGGCACACACACATAAAGTAAAACAATGGTTAAAAAAAAACAAACCCACTCTCAATGCAGCACTGTGAAATAGACAGGACCCTTGCACAGGGTGTGTGTGTGTGTGGTGGCAGCAGCGGCAGATTATCTTAGGTGCTTGGTGCCCTCAGAGATCAGAAGAGGGCATCAGATTCCTTGGAACTAGAGTTATGCGTGGTTGTGAGGTGTCTGTAGGTGCTAGGAACCAAACCTGGGTCCTTTACAAGAGCATCCAGTGCTCATAACTGCTGAGCCATTCTACCCTGCCTCCTTTTAATGGAGTATAAATTCCCATAGCATAGGCACCCAGGTGCCACCTTGCTACCCTCACAGTTGTATCATCTTACCCAGTGTCTTCCAACAATAGGCCCGGCTCTAAATAACGATGAACTAATTAGGGCCTTTGAGAGCTAGCTGGCCAGCCCAGCATATACTGGGTAAACAGAGGTAAGAGGGAGCCAGGTACTAACCCACCACTCTTCTTGGTCTTGAGGACCATATCCTTGTTGCACTGTGGGCACTTTCGAACAGGCTCTGGCATGGCTGGGTAGATCTCTTCTTGTGGTGCCACCTCTGTCCCTTCTCCTAAGTACTGAGATAAGGCCTCATCCAATCTGAAGATAAAGCAGATATACAAACCAGTTTCACTAAAAAGGCCTTTATTGCACTCTTAGGTATCTAGAATACACAGGAGAGTAGAACAAGCCTCAGGGAGCCATAGACCAATGTAAAAAACAGAGGGCAGAGAAAAGATGGAGCTCTCCATCCCACTGTCCCTGGCCCCAGGCAGACACAAATCGTACAAATTTAGCAATGTCTGTCTATATCCCTGCCACAGGGTGGTCTAAAGGATTAAAAACACAAACTGGGGCTGGTACAAAGGTTCAGTGGGTAAATGTGCAAGCCTGACAACCTGAGCTTGATCCCTGGAACACCCCCCAGTATAAAACAAGAATTGTCTTCTAAAAGTTGGCCTCTGACTTGCTTACATTTGCCTTGGCATGTACACAATCACACTCACTGAGCATGCATACCTGCTCGTGCACACGCACAACCCCCAAACTCAAACTGGGATTTTTTGCCATCCATATAATAGCCATATAGACTATTGTCCAGTGGATACTAGTATCCTAATTAAAGTCAGTCCTGCACTTACCTGGAATAAGTCAGACCCCAAAGAATGAGAGCTCAGTGACCAACACTGTTCCCCTTTCAGGATGTGACCTGTGCTTCTGACTACAAAGGGGGCTTCCCATGGTCCCTATGGTCTGATTCACTGGGTGGCTTACAGCACTCAGAACAGCCAGACAGGAGAGATGCACAGGACAAGGTGCACAAGCAGGTGTGTACTGTGCTTTCCCTGGGTGTACTGCTTTCCGGGTCCTACATGAACTGAGCTGTCTGAAAGCATAGAACACAGTCTTTATGTCTCCAGTACTTGAACACAACTGGTAAACCATGAGCCACCATGACCGATTTAACCTTGAGTACCAGCCTAGAGCTGCTGAAAGTACCAGTCTTCTTTCTATCCTTGTGGAAGTGTCCTCTGGGAACTAATCCTAGCTTGTGTATCAATAAATGCTTTCCATCAGCCAGGTAACTGGCAAACAAAGGCATTATCATTCTAGAGTCCAAGTGTGCCAGGAAATTAAACTAAATATGTTTATATGCATGAAGCATAGTATGGCATGCCTGGAAGCTATGGGACCACCGGACAGGGGAGCAGGGTCTGGCACTCACTTCTTTGCCTTAGCCACTGCTTCAATGAAAACCTGCTTGTATTTCTGCACTTGCTGCCTTAGAACTTGAAACTTATCCTTCTTGCCCTCACAGATTAGCTTGAGATCAGCTTCCAGCTCAGCACGGAGGTCTGGCTTGGACATCTGATAGCCCATGGAATCGTAACCTGCAGAAGAAGAGAGTTGTGAGGTTCTAAATGACACCACCAGGAACTTGGATGCTTTGGCCACCCCATTGTCGACACTGCAACTTCCCTCCTGTTTTACCTTCCACAAGTCCCATGCCCAGGTGACCAGGGAGGAACCGCTTGTCTGAGGTAAGTCCCACATACATCCGGGCTTTGATGGTTTCAATGTGTTCTGCATGAGTTGCATCCGTACCTAGAAACCATTTCCTTATCATCATCATCATCATCATCATCATCATCGTCGTCGTCGTCGTCACCACCAACAGGGTCTAGTATTGCCCCAGCTGGCCTTGAGCTTGCTATGCAGCCAAGGCTGTCCTTGAACTACAAATCCTCAACTGCTGGGATCCCGGGTTTTTGCCACCATGTCCATCTCATATTCCCACTATTCTGAGTTGATACAGTCAGCAGCACCAGCACAGCCTTGGGTACCTCATTTATCTTTTGCAGGCAAGATCTCTTTTTCACATCTGACTTAGACTAGCAATCTCAGAGGCCACCCTGACTCTCCTCCCTCCTAACTCGAAGGCCCATCAGGATTGTCAATCCCAGCCTTACAACTTTTCGTTTAAAGCCTTCTCCTTTCCTGCGTCAGACTGTGGCTGAGTGCCCGTGGCACCTCATGTATATATGTGACGCTTGCATTTCTCCAGTATTGCTCTTTGTCCATCTCTATTCAAATCTATTTTAAACTGTAGCCTGATGGACCTTTTAAGTGGAGCTGTGCTGCTAGGAGATACAAACCAAAATTTCAGTGACATACCAAACCACATGGCTTATTTTGAACTTTATCTCTGCCTGGGCACACGCATGTGGATGCAGGTGCCCATGAAGGGACATCAGATCTCCTGGAGCTGGAATTACAGATATCATGAGCCATCTGACATGGGAGCTAGGAACAGAACTCAAATCCTTTGCAGCAGCAGAGAACTCTCTTCACTGCTGAGCCATCTCTCCAGCCCCTGGAATTGTACTACTTTGTATACAGTTTTTTTGTTTTTTTTTGAGGCAGGATCTTGCTATGCATGCAAGGGTAACCTTGAACTCCTGATCTTCCTGCCTACTTTACCCTCCCAAGTGCTGGGACTATAAGCCCTGCTACTCCTTTTTAATTTTGAGATAGGAACTTCCTAAATTGCCAGTTTAGCCCTGGAAGCTGCAATCTTCCTGACTCAGTTCTTGAGCATTTGTTCTCTTTTTTTTCAAGACAAGGTTTCTCTGTGTCATGATGGCTAACCTGGAACTCACTGGGCACACCAGGCTGGACTCAAACTCAGAGATCCACCTGCCTCTGCTTCCTGAGTGCTGGGATTAAAGGTGTGCACAACCACCACCTGGCGAGGCTATTTGTTTTTAATCAAAATGAACAACCAATCCAAAGGGCATAAGGTGCCCTCAACTGACTCTTGAGTCATAATAAACACATATATCATTACATATATATCATAATAAACACCTTGAGTCATAATAAACACCTATATCAAGAACACTGGAAAGCCTGGGGTCCCCCAGGGTCAGTGTCAGAGTGCTTTCCTAGCTTGTACAAGACTCTGGGTTCTACCCCAGCACTGTAAAAACAAACTAAAAACAAGCACATTAGCCATGGAGTTATTTGTACAGATATTAACAACACAGGAATTTGTGGAGCCTAGGTAGATTTCTTTTTTTTTTTTTTTTTCCGAGACAAGGTTTCTGTGTATTGTTTAGGAGCCTGTCCTGGAACTCACTTGGTAGACCAGGTGGCCTTGAACTCACAGAGATCCTCCTGCCTCTGCCTCCCGAGTGCTGGGATTAAAGGCATGTGCCACCAACACCCGGCCTTCCTAGGTAAGTTTTTAACTTTGCTGGTTTGACTTCACTATCTTTTTTTTTTTTTTTTTTTTTTTTTTTGAGTTGGAGTTTGGGATGGAATCAGGGCCTTGTGTATGATAGGCAAGTGCTCTGTCACTTAGTTACACCCCAGCCCTTCACTTAAACTATAGAATAGGGATAGGAATATGATGTCTTCCCTAAGAGGAGGTCATGCCTGGCCTACAACATGTCCAAGAATCATGAACTTCCTACTCAAGATACTGACCAATACCATGCTTCTCCATGAGGGCAATGAGGTCAGCCTCGGTAAGCAGTTGGGGTGGGCTGGTCTCCCCATCCACCATTTCCACGGTGCTGGGCTGAAAGCAGAAGCCTTGCTCATAGACAGGGAGGAGCTACAGGAGGAGCAGGTGCAGAGTTCAGATCGGTTTTGTCATCACACTCAGCTCAGCCCTACTCCATCAGGCAACACAGGGCTGGAGCACAACTGCTGCCCCTCCCTGGGCGGGGCCCACCTCCTTATCACCTTGTCACTCCAGTGATCATATGGATACACATCCAGGTAGTTACGGGCCAGAATTACGAGGCCATGGGCTACGAAGCGTTCCTGAGCAATGTCAATCTCTACGGTAGTCTCTTGCCCCTGAGCATCTTGGGAGCAGCAAGCCAGGAAATGGCGAACGATAAACTCATATAGTCTCCGTTCATCTCCCTAAAGAAAAGAAAGAGTGTTAAATTTCTGAAGAGCATGTCTCAAGGACCACAGCATTATTGGAGTTTCAACTTGGTTTATGCCACTGTGAGCTGCAAGTTTGCACAGACTAGAACACATGACTCCACAAGCCCTGCAACACTGTGTCCTTGGGAAGCTGTACTCTTGTAGATTTTTTTTTTTTGAGATAGGGTCTCTTTATGGAGTTCTTCTTGGCCTAAAACTCCTGAGTGCTGGGATTAAAGGCGTGCGCCACCAACGCCTGGCGGCACATACTTTTAATCCCAGTACTTGAGAAGTAGAGACAGGTGGATCTCTGAGCTTGAGGCCAGCCTGGTCTACATAGTGAAACCTTGTCTTAACATAAAGGTTGGAAAATTTTAAAACAAAAACAGATTCACTGAAGACTTCCTTCACTCCCCTCTTGAAATAAAAGATATTTTGCTATCATTGTTGCCAAAACCCAGAACCCATGAAGCAAAGTCCAGCCTTACTATCCACCCTGTACCTGAGCTGCACTCCAGCAGGATTCACACACAGAAAAACTAACCTGCAAGCTGCTGGTGTATTTGGTGGGGTGAATGGGAGGGTGAGCTTGATCGGATTTGTTTCCATTTCGTGGAGTGGGGCCACCTCGCTCTAGAATGTTCTGAGCAAACGCTCCCCAATGTGAGTCCTGGGTCTGCTGCTCCACCAGCGCAACCAGGTTCAAGTCTTTGGGGAAGATGTTTGTTTCTGTTCGGGGGTAGCTGATGTACCTAAGAGAAAAGTACACCAAAATGACATGATTAGGCCTTTTCATTGGTTTGTAACCATTGGAAGTTGTAGTCACCCACATGACACTGCTAATGTAACCATAAACTACCTGAGCCGGTAGCTGGAGATAGGGCCCCTTAAGGGGTGGAAAGCAGTGAGCTTTCCTGCTAGGCCATTCTAGAAACCTATAGACAAGAAGGCAGAAGCACAATGTAGAATAAAGATCTCCGACTCTGCAGTGGCCTGGGGCATACCACTGGCCCCTCTTAACAACCAGTCTGACAGAAGGATCCTGTGTGGTGTGCGTCCCAATGGACTTGACTGTTCCAATAGCACATTCTCTATTTTAAATATCAACTTTGTTATTTTATTTATGTGCTTTACTTATAAGTACATATGTGCACCATCACTGTGCCTGGGCTTTCAGAAGCCAGCACGGGATCCCCTGGACTTAGAGTAAGAGATGGTTGTGGGTCACCAGGGGGGTGCTGCCAATTGAACCTGCATGTGCAGCAAGTGCTCTTAAGCCCTGAGTCACCTCTCCAGCCCTCTATAGCTTTTCTTTTTTAAAAAGGTTTTTTTTTAGGTTTATTTATTCTATGTTTTATATGTATGTGGCACAGGTGCATGTCTGGGGTCCTCAGAGGTCAGAGGAGGGAGTCAGATCCTCTGGAATCGGAGTTACAGATGGTTTGAGTCACCAAGTGGGTGCTAGGAATTGAACCTGGGTCTTCTGTAAGAGTAGCCAGTGCTCTTAACCACCAAGATACCTCTCCAGCCCCCTAACTTTTCTTAAAGCATATAAAGAATACTGTTGCTCAGGTGTTGGAAAGATGTCTCAGAGCACTTCTTCCAGAAGACCAGGTTCAATTCCTAGCATTCACAAGGAAGCTAACATCTGTCTGTAATTCCAATTCCAGGGGATCTAACTCCTTCTTCTGACACCAAACACACATGTGGTACACAGACATACATACAGGCAAACACTCATATGAATAAAATAAAAATAAATAAATCAAGGGAAAAAAACTGTTGATATGGCTCAGCTGTAGAGTGTGCAGCATTCTAGCACATGTAAGGGATGACCTAGATTTAATCCTTAGTGTAAAAAAAGAAAGAAATTAGGATGTTTTGTGTTTTATTTTCACATACATCTTTAAAATCTACGTAGCACAATTAATAACAACCCAGAGACAGATACTGGGGTTCAAGGTGAAGATCAGAGAAGCAAAGCAGCCGGCCACTAGCTCAGACTGAAAGGGCTGTCCTGTCCTCAGCATGGCTGGAGAATAAATCTCTGAGACTATGAATGCTCAGCTCCTATCTTATATATCTCTAGAGCTGAGATTTAAAGGTGTGGGATTCCTAGTGCTGAGATATCCTTCGTGTGAGTAGTTTCTCTAATGTAACCCTGGGTGGCCTTGAACCATCTGCCTTTGTCTCTTGAGTCCTAGGATTAAAGGTGTGTGCCACCACTGCCCAGCTTCTATAGCTAACTAGTGTGGCTGGTGAAATTAAAGGTATGCATCATCATTGCCTGGCTCTGTGGGTGTGGTTAGCTTTGGATTCTGATAGCCAGTGGCTTTACTAAATCATAAGCAACATATTACTAAGATATTTTATATTTACAGCACTGAATTTGGACAACCCACCTTCCATGTTCTCAAGAGTGGTAAGTGGACAGCAAGGACACTTCACAGCTAGAGCACTCACTGATCCCAGAGGTAGGAAGATTCTAACAGGCAAGCAGCTCCTAAAGGTGCTGCCTGCTGACTGACACATGCCAGGACCCAGGAGAATTGCTGAGGGGTCAGGAGCAGCATTTAGTATAATGGAAGTGTGCTAATTACTGTGCAAGGCCCTGGAGTAAATCCATAGTATGAAAGGCAGGGAAGAGGGTAGTTCCAGCTTGCTCGATGAGTTCTTACACTTACCCTTGTGTGTAGAGCTTTTCTGCAATCCTCATGGTTTCTTTAGCATTTATTCTCAATTTCCGAGAAGCCAGCTTCTCTAGCTCCTATCAACAGAGATAGAAGGGTGAAGCTTGTGAGTGCGGGCTCAACACGAGCCCCTAATTCATCTCCAGGAAGTTCTAGCCCTGTTACTTCAGTTACATCCATCATGCCCAGAGGAAGATCCCTGGGATTTAGTCAGCCAGGCAGATCACAACCAATAGGGATTTGTTTAAAATGAACTTTTAACAAGAACAACAACAAAATCAACCAACTAAACAACCAAAACAAGGAAACACAAATAAGAGCATGGTGCCACTTGGGAAGAAGAGATGGGCAGATCTCTGTGAGATCTAGGTCAGCCTGGTCTATGTGAGTTCTAGATCAGCCAGGACTACAGAATAAAACTTGTTTCAAAAAACCACAGAAACATCAATAAAAAAGATATTTTTCTCTTTGATCTGAAACAGTATCTCATATAGTTCAGGCTGTCTTTGAATTCATGAGTCTTCTGCTTCTACATCCCAAATGCTGTGATCACCAGCATCACATCTTCCTAAGGAAGCACTGAGTGGTTTTTCAAGATAATGTGCACCTGATACTTACCCAAGGAGTTGGCAAGCTCAGATAGTGTGTGGTTGGTTTCTTTGTGGGTTTTTTTTTTCCTTCCTTTTTTTCTGTCTTTGAGACAGGGTTTCTCTGTACAGCTCTGGCTGTCCTGGAACTCATTCTTTAGACTAGGCTGGCCTTAAATTCACAGAAATCTGCCTGTATCTGCCTTCTGAATGCTGGGATGAAAGGGATAGGCCACTACTACCAGGCCCCCAGATCATGTATCTTTTTTTTTTTTAAGACAAGAGCTTTGTATGTAGCACAGGCTAGCCTTAGCTGCATCAGCTTCCTTGATAGCTAGGATCACAGTTAAGTGCTATCACTCCTTAGCTGAAATCTGTGTTCGTTCTTTCTTTCTTCCTTTCTTTATGATTTTTCAAGACAGGGTTTCTCTGCAACAGTCCTGGCTGTCCTGGAACTAGCTCTATAGCCCAGGTTGGCCTCAAACTCAGAGAGATCTGCCTGCCTCTGCTTACTGAGTGCTGAGAATAAAGGTGTGCACCACCACTGCCCAGCTGAAAACTGTATTTTTAATAAGTAGTCTGACAAGAAAATGAAGTTAATGCAGGCAATATGAGAACCACACTTTGAGCATGACCAAAATCTCAAAATTTCCCCTAGACATTGGAAAACATCCTTTGAAGCTTTCTAATCCCCTGAGCCGTTTCTGTCTATTGACAATCTGACAGAGGCTGGGCATGGTGGTGTATGACTTGAATCCCACACTTGGGAGGCAGAGGCAGGCAGATCTCTGAGGCCAGAGTGAGTTCCAAGACAGTTAGGACCCTGTTAGAGATCCCATCTCAAAAGAATCAAAACAAATGAACAATAATTTTAAAAAGGACCAACAAGACATCAAAATTATGTGATTACATAAAGATTGCATTATGGATCACTTGAGTTCCTCTTTTGGTCTCAAAACTTTATATATATAATAGTTGTTGTAAGAGGTTGAGCTAACTCAGGTCTTCCGAGCTTCTCTGAGTGGCCTTGAGATTTGAGTGATAGATATTTCTTCCTTCCACTGGGCCACAGCCTATGCAGAACTGGAGCCCCAACAACAGGAAGTAACTGTTCCTTAGTGCCTGGAACAGCCTATCTGGAACATACCACAGTGTCCAAAGCTTGAGGCCTCCACTTGCTCTTTGGCTTAGATCTGACCTCTACCACAGTTGCCGTGGGATCCTAGAAAATCAAGCACACAGCCCACATTAGCCTGTAGTATACCACCTCAAGTCCCCGTTGTTAGTATTCAGGCATCTGTACTAGTCTGTCCTTGAGGTTCTGACAGGATATGCCCTCAGTTGCAGCCACTACTAAGAGCACCACCTATGCATAGTCTCTACATTCCCTTTTAAAAGGGCCCTCCCTCCCTCACCTCTCCCTCCCTCCCTCCCTCCCTCCCTCCCTCCCTCCCCATCCTTCTCTGTCTGTCTGTCTGCCCCTTCTCTTCCACTGCTTCTGTCACCAGAGGCCGGTCTCTCCCCCCACCTCCCCTTTTTCCTCTTCCCTTTCCCCTAGGCTGCCATCACTTCCTTCCCACTTTGAAAGATATTTTCACAAGTCCTTTGTTTTTGTTTGCTTTTTTGAGACAGGGTTTCTCTGTGTAACAGCCCTGACTATCCTGGAACTCACTCTGTAGACCAGGCTAGCTGAGAACTCACAGAGATCTTCCTGCCTCTGCCTCCCATGTGCTGGGAGTAAAGGTGTGTGCCACCACCACCCAGCTCACAAGTCTTTAAGTAGTCTAAAACTGATGAAATTCCATAGTCTGTGATCTGAGTCAAGTCTCCTACCTATACATGCTCCCTGTCACATATTTTTTAAAATTCAGGATAATAATTCAGGGCTGGAGTATAAGTCAGGGGCAGAGCACTTGCCTAGCATGCATGAGGCCTAAGGTTCCAACCTGAGCACCATATACCTTCATACCCGAGACATAAACCAGTAAAAGTTACACAATACAAACTGCAAAACTTTCAAAGACACTATAAATGGACATGAACTTAAATGGTTTGCTGAAGAGAAGATTTGTATATCATAATCCAAATTTCTCTTTCACAATAAAGTGGGGACCAGCTGCTCTTTCTTTCCAAGGAGCTCAAAGTCTATCACTTGCCATTAATTGCCAGGATAGTCTAACAGAAAGAAGTACAAGAGGCGTTTATGATTATGCTAATTTATTTGTGTGTGTGTGTGTGTGTGTGTGTGTGTGTGTGTGTGTGTGTGTGTAGGTGATGTGTGCATACTATAAGCATATGTGAAGGTTGGAGGACAATTTGCAGGAGGTGGTTTCTTCTTTCTACTATGTGGGCCCTTGGGATAGAATTCAATTGCTCAAATGTTACTCTCATTTCATCTAGAATAAATAGTCTCCATATTACTCCCATGTCATCTTCTATTATTTTCTCTTGTATTTCTGTCCTGGTGTTATTGTTTTCCAGAATTACTTCCTTCATTTGTGACTTTCACTTCATTTGTGATTTTCACTTCCTCATGTGACCAACAGAAGGATGTTGGACCAAATGTTTAAATTCCTTCCCAGGTCCAGGGGTCCAGCTCTAAATGGGCTTAGATGACCCATCCTAACCTCTGTTGAAAGTATATATTTCAGAGGGAGATTTCAGCTATCTACTTGTAAAATTTCTGACTTTATCTAAAAATTCTACTTAGAAAAATCTTTTGAGACTTGGTTTCATGTAGCCCAGGTTAGATACAAACTCACCAGGAGTTGAGCTGATCCTCTTGCTTCTACCTTCCAAGTGCATGCACTGTTATACCTGACTTTCCTTGCTGTTAGATCAGGACTACTGCCCATCTGTTGCCTCTCCCTTAGGACAAAGATCTTACAAGTTCCTGCTGTAACTGTTAGCACACAGGCCTCAGACTAAGAGTCTAGTGGGGAGAAATCCCAGACTCCCCAGGGACCACCTTTGAATTATGACCCCATTTGCTCTGACCAAACAAAACAACACTAACCTGTAATAATCAGAATTTCCCCTTTGTCTCCAGAATTGAAGGCTTTCCTTTAAGACTCTATCATGCTGCTTATGGTATGGTACTAAATCTCTTCTAATGCTTCTCCCATTTTAAGAGCATTATAAAGGTTGGCCATGGTCATAGCCTATAACTCTAACAAAGCTCATTCTAAGGTAATTTTATGTCAGTATCTGTCTATGAAGCACCATCAGTTTCTAACACTTGTATAACACAGGGTTGCATAGACAATGCTGGCCTTGAACCTGCCTCAGTCTTCTAAAGGCTGGGATTACAAGAATGCACCATCATGATTGGCCACTTTGCACACTTTTAGTGCTATTTTCATGGTTTTCTAACCATGTTGGTTTCCAAAAAAGCGATGTGTGCATGTGCGTGCAGACACACACACACACACACACACACACACACACACAGAGGCTCACATGTGGAACACAGACAGCAGTCTTTAGAAGTTGGTTTTCTCTTTCTACCATCTGTTTCCTAAGGATTTAATTCAGATTTTCAGGCTTGGCAGCAGGCACTGAGACATCCAGCAGGCCCTGGGATATAAACTCTAAGCCAATAAGCAAGCAAAGCTCAGTGGGAAATAGAACAGAAAAGTTTCTGGGAGTGTATACAATGCTTCTAGATCCCTAAGCTCTCAAAGAACAACTTACCTCCATACACAACTGATATAGGACGAGACAAGCTGTGTGGTTAAAGAGACGGTGTCTTTTCCAGTTGAACTCTACAGTCCCATCCTCATGGTCATGAGTTACTGTATGGGAGAGAGACAGGCAGAACTATATCAGAGAAGCCATCACATGACAGACAGAAAATAGTACATTACAGTGAAAAACCAAAGCTTATGATACAGGGAGGGGTTCTAGACTTCTAAGGGTCCTTTCAAAAGACTACCATGATGGGCAGGGTGAAGGACAACAAGGCTGAATGAAAATTATACCTTCACTAAGCTCTGCAGCCCCCTCATCTTCCGGGGCCAGCAGATCCCAGAGCAAAGACTCTTGGAGCTTTACCTTTAATTCTGTGGAAGACTTCTGGCACAAAAGCCTGAATGGCTTTGAACCTCTCCACCACAAACCCTAGGGTTGGGAACTGGCAACTGCCATAGCTGATGAGCTGCTCTGCCAGGACCTCAGGGAAAATCCGCTGGAGCCGCAGGGTCTGGAACCTCGTGAAAGCAGCTCCTACGAGAGGAGGGAGGAGGAAGGAGGAACAAGAAAGCAGTGAACCATAAATTTATTTTTGGTCCTATGACCTAACACCAAGATGCTACTTAAGACAATGGGCAGCCCCATCTGGCTCCTCACCGATCCTCAGATCCAGCTCTTGCCTCACATCCACGGCATCACTTACTCTCTGGTCAGGCTCAGTTAGGTTTTCACAGGCTGCCCTGACGGCATGCGGTGTGATCTCAGAGAAACGGGCTCTCAACACCTGTAGATTGGGCTTTACTGTAGGAGAGAAGGCAGCACAGATAACAAACTTAATCATAAATGCATCAGCACAAAAGCAACTGCTCTTCTTTTTTTTTCTCCTGAAACAGGGATTCTCTGCATAACAGCTCTGACTGTCCTGGAACTCACTCTATAGAGCAGGCTAGCCTCAAAATCAGAGATCCTCCTGCATCTGCCTACCAAGCGCTGGAACTAAAGGCATGCACCACCACTGCCTAGCACAACTGTTTTTAAACCATCATGACATTCAGGTAAACCAGTACAAGAAGCTGGTTTACCTTTCACCTATTAGTTTAAATTAATTAGAATACAAAGAACAAAGAGGCGAAGGGTATTATAATCCAATATAACAATTTTTGTTTGTTTGTTTTTCGAGACAGAGTTTCTCTGTATTGTTTTGGAGGCTGTCCTGGAACTCACTCTGTAGACCAGGCTGGCCTTGAACTCACAGAGATCTGCCTGTCTCTGCCTCCTGAGTGCTGGGATTAAAGGTGTAAGGTGTGTACCACCAACACCTGGCTAGCAATTTGTTTATTTTACATCCCAACTACAGCTACCCCTCCCTCCCACCTTCTCCCCTCTGCCTCCCCCCAATCTACACTTCTTCATAATCCCTCAGAAAAGGGCAGGACTCCATGGGCTTCAGCAAAGTATGGCATGTCGTGCTGCCATAAGACTAAGCACTTCCCCCTGTATTCAGGCTGGGCAAAGTATTATAATCTTTAATTTAAGTCTTGTTAGAAATAACAATGGAATCAATTTCAGCCACAAATACTTTAGGCGAACGTTATGAGAGTTAAATTTTACTTGGATCTTTTGGTTTAATTTTAAGAAAAAGTAGAACTTGAACAGTTAAAAGATCTCCTATAATTTTATTTTAGGAAGCCAGTTGGTAGTGGCACACCCCTTTAATGCCAGGCCTCAGGAAGCAGAGGCAGGCAGATCTCTGTGAGTTCGAGGCCAGCCTGGTTTACAGAGCGAATTCCAGGACTGTTACACAGAGAAACCCTGTCTTGAAAAAAAAAAAAGAAAGAAATTATTTTTAATGTGTATGTGTGTGATTTTGTGTGTGAATCAGGAATTTGACCACAGACTACTTATAACCCCCATGCAGAGACACTCGGCAATAGACTCACCAGCCTTGCATACATGGATAATCTCAAACCCGATGTTTTCACCTTCTCTGTCACAGTCAGTCCAGATCACCAGTGCCTGACAGTGCTGTGTTTCTCGTTCCAGAGTCTTCTGCAATTATAGGGCAAGTGCAGTGAGCAGGGAAGTTTGGCTCCTTCACACTAAGAATCTGATTTAGGAGGCTGGAGAGAGGGCTTAGTGGCTGCTCTTCCTCAGGACCACATGCGGCTCCCAGCCATCCATTCCACCCTCTTCTGACCTCGAGGGGGGGGGCACCAGACATGCATGTAGTCATTGACACGCATACAGGCAAACTACTTATACACATTAAAAAAATTAAGTTAAATTTGAAAGAAAGAAAAAATCTGATTTAGCTAGGCAACATAGGTCATGTCTGTAATTCCAGCACAGGGGAAGTTGAGGTAGATGGCTGTGAGTTTCAGGTCAGCCTGGGCTACAGAATGAAACCCTGATTCAAAAAGAAAACAAAACAAAACAAAACACATATACACAAACAAAACAATAGAAGAGTCCATCAAGGTGAGGATCAGAGCTGGTCTTGGAGTATTCAAACTTGGGGGGTGGGGTGTGAGGAGATAGAGCAGAAAAAATTGCTCATGGTATGGTGTCTGCTACAGTCCTCCAGATCTGTGTATGTACAGAAGACTGAAGGTTTCACACAACCTCATCAATATGATGAAATCGACCATCAGTTCTGCTCAAGCTCCAGTCACTGAATAAGTTCCTCCCAATTGCCCTCCCCAGACAGAGTCTCATGTAGCTTAGGCTGGCCCTGCACAGGCTATACAGTTGAGAATGACCTTCAACTCTGGCTCCTTCTATCTCCATCTCCCCAGTGCTGGGATTACAGGTGTGTGCTATGGAGTATGAGGCACTCTACAAAAGGAGCTACATTCCCAGGCCTGTTCCCAGAGTTTCATTCTAATAAACTTTCCCACCCCTATTATTATTGTTATTATTGTGTGGGAGGGCATGTGGATGCCACAGAACAACTTTGTGGAGTCAGTTCTGTCCTTTCACCTTAGAAATATTTTAAAATTTTATTATTTTTAATTATGTGTATATGTGTGTGTTGGTGGGTGGGTTATGTATATTTAAAGGTAGGAGTCTGATAGGGTTGGGCATACTGGATCCCCTAGAGTTGGAATTACAGATGGTTGTGTCCTGCCTGATGTGTGAGCTGGGAATTGAACCTGAATTCTTTTGAAGGTGAGCATGTGCTCTTAACCACAGAGCCATCTCTCCAGGCTGAGTTTTTTTTTTTAACTTATTCGTGCTTCTGTGTGAGTATGTACCACTGGTATGTGGGTATTTTCAGATTCTAGAAGAGGATGTTAGATCACTTGGAACTGGAGTTACAAGCATTTCAGAGTAGCCCACCTGGATGCTGGGAACTGAACTTGGGTCCTTTGGAAGGACAGGAAGCAATTTTCAGCACTGGGCCACATCAAACCCTCTTTCCACCTCTACACTGGTTCCTAGCAGTGAACACTGGTCACCAGGCTTTTGCTGGCCTGACAGTTTTCTTTTTTTAAGACAGGGTTTCCTCTCTGTTCCTTGGCAGTCCTGGAACTCACTCTGTATACCAGGCTGGTCTGTAACTCAAGATCCACCTGCCCCTGTTCCCCCCAACTGCCCGGTTTCTTTTTTTGTAAATTTTTTCAAGATAAGGTCATGCTAAGTAGTCCTCACTGGTCTTGAACTTCCAATGATCCTCCTGCCTCACCCTTGGAAGTAAGAGATGTGGGTCCATACTGCTCCATCTTATTTTGAAGCTTCTAAAGTTTATCTGACAGGAAGAAACAGGAATCTGTGCCAGGTGAGGCCAACCTAGGTTATATGGCAAGGCCATGTTTTCCAAACAGCGTTATGGGAATTCTTCCCACCAATAGCTTGGGTACCGGCCTGAGGGTGTGGCCTGGGGCACTACACAAGGACTGAAAAGCTGAATCAGAAAGTGCACTCTCTCTTGCTCTGGCTCATGCTCGCATGGTGGGAGACCCAAGTGGTGGGGAGACAGCGCAGGATCGGGGGTGGCTTCAGCCTTACTTAGTATGTGCAAAGTTTGTCCTTTTCATTGCACCTTTTAATAGATCAGTTTTTATACTTTGTGAGTTCATGTTCAATACAATAAGTGGAAAAAACATTTTAAAGTCATGATACTGGTGGTGGTGTACATCTTTAATCCCACCAGAGGAAGGTGGATCTCTACGAGTTTGGGGCTAGACTGGTCTACATACTATATTCCAGGCCAGCCAAGGTTACATAGTGAGACTCTGTCTCAAATAAATAATTAATTATGATACTGAGGTTGGTGGAAAATTCCAATGCATTAAAAATATAGAAACAACTCAGTTCAATGACTTCTAGTTGTTTTTTTTTTTTTTTTTTTTGGTTTTTCGAGACAACGTTTCTCTGTGGCTTTGGAGGCTGTTCTGGAACTCAATCTGTAGACCAGGCTGGCCTCGAACTCGCAGAGATCCTCCGGCCTCTGCCTCCCGAGTGCTGGGATTAAAGGCGTGTGCCACCAATGCCCGGCGACTTCAAGTTGTTTTTTTTTTGTTTTGTTTTGTTTTGTTTTGTTTTGTTTTGTTTTTGTTTTTCCGAGACAGGGTTTCTCTGTGGCTTTGGAGGCTGTCCTGGAACTCAATCTGTAGACCAGGCTGGCCTCAAACTCACAGAGATCCTCCTGCCTCTGCCTCCCGAGTGCTGGGATTAAAGGCGTGCGCCACCAACGCCCGGCTTCTAGTTGTTTTAATCTCCATAGATCTTACCTTGATGTCTATAAAATTTTCTGGGCAGTACTTTTCAATTTCCGCTTCAAAGAGGACTACAGGATTGCAGCTCTGCCTAGAATAGAAACAGAAACACAGAGGTCTTTACCATCATGGACAGAGAGCCCCTCCATTAAGAACATCTAACTATAGCAGGCACACAGGTGACCTCCCATAGGAAATGGCCTGGAGAGCTACAAAACCAAAAAAAAACAAAAACTAACCAAGCCAAAAAAATAAGGCTAGGCAAGGTAGCATGTGCCAGAAATCCAGCACCTGGGAACACTAGTCAGAGAGCCTGGAGATGGACCAGTCTCAAAAGAGAAACAACAACAACAACAAAAAAACCCACTCCCACCCCCTCTTTGCCCCCCCAAAAGAACAAGCAAAAAACCCAAAAACAAAAAACGACCAAAGCAAAACCAAAAAATAAGGCTAGGCAGGTAGCATGTGCCAGACATCCAGCACCTGGGAACACTAGTCAGAAAGGCGGCTGGAAATAGACTGTCTCAAAAGAGAGAGAAAGGAAAACTAGCAGGAGATTAAGAGGAAAGCTATGGGCTTCTGCATTACGAACTGTCCCCTCCCCCAAGCAGATTGATAGGAGAAGCAGAGAAGAAACACGTGAGTTTATACACATCTGCAATGGAATAAATGCAATTCAGACTTCACTGAAAAGAGTCTATTAGGGGTATTTATTCTAAAGGTATGATAAAAACTTATAGCAGGTCATATAACTCTAGGTAATTTTAGTATTATGAATTAGTATTTACTAATTATTATAAATGACATGGTAATATCAACATGCTTCAAAATCCTTGTGATATTTGTCACAGCTTACTTCCCATACTAATTGTACTGACCATTTCCGAAACCTCATCTGGAAATCGTGAGCCAGCAAATGTCCAGACACTGAAGTCATTATCATAGTAACATTCTGAGTAACAACAAAATGAAAGTTAGTCTTTCTGTAATTATATTTGCCAAATCATTCAATGGAAAGGAAAATAACAATGAACAGAACTAAGAACAAACACAGCTGATGGAAAAAAAGGACCACAAATATAACTGAAAAACCAAAATCAGCAGCACAACCACATTCACCAGCCCCCACCTCCCACTTGTTGAGAAGGGTCTCTCTATGGTCCTCACTGTTCTGGACCCCCCTATGTAGAACAGGCTGGTCTCAAACTTACAGAGATCTACCTGTCTGTCTTCTGATTGCTGAGATTAAAGGTGCATGTCACCATGACCCACTACCAAAGGGAGGAAAAAAAAAAAAACCTACTGTCTCAACTTCCCAAATATTAGGATTACATTATAGGCTAGCCACCATGCCTGTCTTATATGTCAGCTTTATGATGGAAACACTTTACCTACCTGGCCATATAGATGATAGTCAAATTCATAAATCTTGTTGAATTTAGAAAGGCCTTCTTTCTGTAAAGCACAAGAAAAGTATGTAAAAATTTCAAATCATATTAATAAAACAAATGACTCTCCAACATAAAGAATGAACAATACTCAGGGAGTGGAAGAAAAGGATACTTACTAAAAAAGCAAATAGAACTTGACACTTCAGCATTCAAGAGGCTATGAGTATTATAAGCTTGAAGCCTGCCCAGGTTACGGAGACCAAGTTTAAACAAATGAACACAAATATTATTTCCTGAACAAAGATAAAGCAGGTTGGGCTGTAGCTCAATAGAAGACAGTTTGCCTAGCATGCGCAAAGCCATAGACTCATTCTCCAGTTGTGTGTGGGGGCATGACTTCAATCCCAGTACCCAGGAGGCAGAGGCAGGTGGATCTCTGTGAGTTCAAGGCCAGCCTGGTCTACAGAGTGAGTTCTAAGACACCAAGAGCTACATAGAGAAACCCTGTCTCAAATGGGAGAAAGGAAGGAAGGAAGGAAGGAAGGAAGGAAGGAAGGAAGGAAGGAAGGAAGGAAGGAAGGAAGGAAGGCTGTTGGGTGCAATGGCCTCTGTAAACCTGATCCTGGGGAGAGGGAAGCAGAGACAGGAGGATCCCTAGAATTTTCTGGTCAGCTAGCCTAGTTAAGTGGGTGAGTTTCAGGTTCAAGGAGAGACAGGTCAGAAAAGCAAGGTGAAGAGCAATACATGAAGACATCATACATTATTCTCTAGTCTTCATGGGCACATACATTTGCATAAACAAAATGTGGCTTGAGTGAGAATGGCCCCCATAGGCACATATATTTTAATGCTTAATCACCAGAGAGTGGAACTCTTTGAAAAGATTGGAAAGATTAGGAGGTGTCGCCTTGTTGGAGGAAATGCATCACTAGGGCTTAGAGGGTTTCTGGGGCCCAGTCTCTCTCTGTTGCCTATAGATAAGGGTATAAAAGCTCTCAGTTACTTATCATCATGCATGCCTGTGTGCCATCATGCTCCCAGCCATGACAATGACTGATCCTCTGAAACTGCTTTCTTTTATAAGAGTTGCCTTGCTCTCTCTCTCTCTCTCTCTCTCTCTCTCTCTCTCTCTCTCTCTCTCTCTCTCTCTCTCTCTCTCTCTCTCTCTCTCACACACACACACACACACAATCACGAATGCCCACATGCATTTGAACCCCAAACACAATAAATGTACTGGGTGCGATGACACACACCTTTAAACCTAAAACCTGAGATGTGGAGATAGAAGGACCATGAATTTAAGGCTATCTTTAACTACATAATGAGTTCAATGCCAACCTGGTTACATGAAACCTGGGCTTAAAAAAAACAAAGAAAGAAAAGAAGGAGGGAGGGAAGGAAGGAAAAACAAGTAAAAAAAAGGAAACTTATAATAGTTTCTGACCCTTTTTTATTGTTTTCCTATCTAATTTGGTCTCATTCATTCTTTTTTGTTCTTTTATGTATGTGAATGAAGAAGTAGGAGGAGGGTTGGGCAGTAGTTACCCACACCTTTAATTCCAGCACCTGGGAGGCAGAGGCAGGCCGACTGAGGCCAGCATGGTCTACACAGTGAGCTCCAGGACAGTCAGAGCTATACAGAGAAACCCTGTCTCCACCCCCCCCCAAAAAAAAAGAAGAGGAAGAAGAAATAGTAGTAGTAGTCTGAGGCTGGAGAGATGGCTCAGTACTTAAAAGCACTGGCTGCTCTTGCAGAGGACCCACATGATGGATTAAAACCATCTGTATGTAACTCCAGTTCCAGAGGATCTGACACCCTTTTCTGACCTCTGTGGTCACCAAGCACACATGTTATAGACATACTTACAGGCAAAACATTCATATACATAGATTTTAAAAATAAAAAGAGTAAATAAATATCTTCTTTAATCAATGAGACTAACAGCCCTCATAAGGTAACCCTGATAATAATAGCTATCCAGTAAACTTCTTTATGGCACACGCCTTTAATCCCAGCACTCGGGAGGCAGAGGCAGGTGGATCTCTGTGAGTTCGAGGCCAGCCTGGTCTACAAAGCGAGTTCCAGGACAGCCTCCAAAACAATACAGAGAAACCTTGTCTTGGAAAAACAACAAAAACAACAAAAAGATATATTTTATGATCTTATTACTAGGTTCCTTTCTTCCTTTGGTTTTTCAAGGCAGGGTTTCTCTATAAAACAACTTTAGCTGTCCTGAAACTCAATTTGTAGACAAGTCTAGCTTCAAACTCAGAGAGCCAACTGCTACTGCCTCCTGAGTGCTGGGATTAGAAGTGTGATATGCTCCACCTCTTTTTTAAAAATTATAAAGCTGTTATAAAGCTGCCATGAGAACAACTTCATTTTGAGTTGTTTGTATGCCTAGGTCTTAACTATTCCATTAGAGTCTAAACTCTCTTAAAGATAGGGATTCGATCCCACCCTGACCATGTGATTACTATGAACAGGCTGTTGCAAGGAGAAACTCTTTAACCCCACCCCGTTTTCCCCTCCATCATTACAAAACAACCCAGAGTTCAGAACTCTGGCTTCTCCCATGGAGAACTCTAATTGTCTTTCCATCTCATGCCTTTGCTCTTCAAATATTCAACTGCTAGTGACTCTATAAAACTCAATAGCTCCAACACTCTTGCCACTTACAAATCTACCTGGGGGTGGTGCCAGATGGCTTAGCAGGTTAAAGTGCTCACCATGAAAGCCTCACAAGCTAGAGTTTGATGCCTGGAACAAACATAATGATGGGAGGAAAACATTAACTCCACAAAGTCATCCCTGGTCTCCACACACTCAATGTGGGAAGCACTCCCCTCTTCCTCATCATACACACATGCACTAAGAAAAGCAAAATGATACAAAAAACTTTACCAGACTTGTATCAATTGGTGCAGAAAAACACCTTGCTAAAATTCAATACCCTTTCCCAATTCAACTAGGACTAGGAAGAAACTAGAATAAAGCTAACACACGTAATAGTGAAAGAATGAAAAGTCGTCCTTTAAGATAAGTAACAGTTTCAGCCAGGCGTTGGTGGCGCATGCCTTTAATCCCAGCACTCGGGAGGCAGAGGCAGGCAGATCTCTATGAGTTTGAGGCCAGCCTGGTCTACAGATCGAGTTCCAGGACAGCCTCCAAAACAATACAGAGAAACCCTGTCTTGAAAAACCAAAAAAAAAAAAAAAAAAAAAAAAAAAAGATAAGTAACAGTTTCAGGACAGCCAGAGCTACACAGATAAACCCTGTCTCAAGAAAAAAAAAAAAAAAAAACAATAACGACACTAGCACACCTCTTCTTGGTCTTGCTCTTCAACACTATCCTAGAAGTTCCAGCTAGAACATTGACAAGAACACTGACAAGAAAAGAAATAGAAGACAACAAGATTGGAAAAGAAAAATTTATAGACATCACGACTGTTTCACTATGTAGCCCTAGCTGGTCTAGAACTCACAGAGATCCCCTTTCCTCTGCCTCCCGAGTGCTGGAATTAAAGACATGCACCAGTATGCCCAGTATAACACAATCTTCTCCATGCAGCCCTGGCTGTCCTGGAACTCGCTCTGTAGACCAGGCTGGCCACAAACTCACAGAGATCCATCTGCCTCTGGCTCCTGAGTGCTGGGATTAAAGGCTTGTGTCACTACCACCTGGCAACATGATCTTTTTCAAGGCAGGATTTCAGAGGCAGCACTAATTGTCCTCAAACTCATAGAAATCTGTTTGCCTCTGCCTCTGAGTGCTGGGATAAAAGGTATGAACCACCACATCTGGCCTAACATGATCTTTTATATGTGAAAAAATCCTAAAGAAACAACAAAAAACTGATTAGTGGTAATAATCAAACCCAGCAAAGTTGCAGGATACAAGTTCAACACAAAATCATTACTGTAAACTAGCTATGGTACATATTCTCAGCATTTAGAAGACAGAGGCAAGAAGAATGCCACAACTTCAAATTGAAGGACAGCTTACAATTCCCCTCCAAGCAGGCTACAAGACCTTACCTATTTTTAGGCTACATATCTCAGGTCATCTCAGTAGGAGGTAGAGACAAGTGAATCTCTTGAGAGTTCGAGGTCAGCACGGTCTACAAAGTAAGTTTCAGGATAGCAGGGGCTGTCACACTGAGAAACCCTGCCTCAAAAAATGAAACAAACCAAAAAAAGAAGGTGGGGTGGCTGACTGTGTTCATGTATGCATTTTGGGGTGCCCCTGCTGCCATGTGGTAAGACAGATACATTTTCTATATCAGACTAAGATGGTATACCAGACCTCCATGATGGGATCTTGGCTTTGGAACACTGTTTTACTTAATGTGCCAACTGGGTTCTAAAGGAAAGTTAACCACGTTCCCTGTACCTCCAAAAGGTTGTGTCAAAATAGACAACTTTCCCTTACTCCCTGGTTGCTTCTTGATAAAGTTAACTAGGCAAAATGTAGGAAGAATTCACCAAGGTCACAGGGTATCAAAGTCAGGAAGAGTATGTTGATGAAAGTGGCTAATTGGATAGGCTTCCCTTCCTTATGGCTGCCAATAAGGGAGGATGGGATACACGGAACTCAGGTATCACTGTTGAATGTGGCCTCTTTGCTTTCCTTGTGGTTGCTCATGGAAGGAGAAGGAAAAGCCAGGAAAATCTGCAGAGGATGGTCTGGAGAAGACAAAGGAGATATGGAAGACGTTTCAGTGTATCTTTTTTATCTCACAGAGGATAACAAGGCACTCCTAAACTATAGCAGCTTAATCCAGACCTTCAAAGGAAAAAAGGCCTGGCACTTTTCTGCATTAGATCTTGGCCTAAATTTTGGCTGGAGGATAATAAAAATGTCTTCTAAAGAAAAATATCCTTCACAGTATTTCTTTATCCTACAAAAAGAGCTTTGTAGAAAGGACATTCAGAATTTCTTAGATTGCCCATTTCCCCTTGCTGGTACATTCTGATAATAGATATAAGCTTTCAAGGTCTGAATGGAAATCTGAAAGCTAACACAGATAAAGTTGGACACCTGCCAGCCTGATCTGCCT